AGGAATATTTGTTAAGCAGGTAAGTAACTATGTAATATTATAATAGACTTTTAATTTGAGTGATTCAGTATTGACTATTGGTACTATTCGTATGAAAACGTATTATATTAAATATGATATGTAGTTCATTGCCCCCACATATTTCCGTTCTCTGACTTTGGTTTGTGTACTAAGTTATGTAATCTCAATCAGTGGCGTAGCGCTCATTGGGTAGGGTTAGTTCCGAAACTAAGGGCCCCCGACAGTTAGGGGCCCCATCACCCACGGCCTATCGCCCAGAAAATTAGAAAATGTAAAAAATGCAGCTTAAGAATCAATGGGAAAATGCAAAATTAATAAAGAACAAGACGCCTGCTCAGGCGTTCACACTGGCCTTAGCGGTTGGTAAAACAGTAAAATACCATCGCAATATTCTAAAAAATAGGTACGTAGTGCGTACATGTTGCATGCCATCAAAACCATGAAACCTCACGACTCAGAATACTATACAGAAATCATGGCCATCTCCATTGTTTTCTGTGTACGTCGGCAAGTACAGTAAACAGAAGCAGTTACCCCCTGGCACTGAACAAAGATACACAGAAGGTCGATTAGAGCATAGTCCAAAACATGGTCTGGAAACTCAGTAAACTTCAAAGCGGTTATAATGAGCTGGGATTTTACGTTGAGCTGGGATTTTACGTTGAGCCGTACCTTAAACCATGTACATCCTTTGTTTTAGGTTTATTAATATTTAACTAACATGGTTGAATGACTGAATTGAAACGTCGCTGTTGGATGATTCGTTCATTATACTGAAATACAATGTGTTCATAATTGACTGTGCACCGTGCACAAAACTGCATAAACGCAAAACAAAAAGATGGAACAAAGACTTTAGCGGTGTTTCCAAACCATGTTTTGAAAGACTGTAATTAGAGTAAACGCTGCCACGTCCCAACCAGTGCGCACCAAAGAGGCAAGCCCTCCCCCCCTTCCCGCTGGACGTCTATCATTTAGAATATTATCAGGGGGGTAAATGCCTCCCAAAAGCGCACCAGCCAGGACCATGACGTCAGCATTTTGATGATGAATTACGGTCACGCCAAAATCATTGGAAAACCATAAGAAAAACCAATAAATTGGGCTTCTGTATGACCGACCCTGTGCCCTGGTAAATTCTATTTCACTTACCCCCCACGAAAACGCGATTTCAGCCATATTTTGCCGTCTTGTTTGCTTTTTATCGCCGAATCACGCAAATATCATCCAGTTATTGTACTTTTACATAATCATAAATGGCTGAAGAAGATTTCAAAGAAGGTTTCATCCACTTTTGAAACAGTGCAGTTTATTTTATCTTCGATAATGTGTCCTTCGATATCTCGTCAAATTGCCGCCATTTTAATGGCTCGCCGCTTCTCTGCCCGATAAATGCCACTTCTTCGTTTTCATATGTATTTAGATTACATTATCCAAGAGTACTTCATTGTAGAATAGTACCAATCCAAAAATTGGAAATATTATTTGTACTTGGGAGGAAAAAACCTCCCAGTACAATTGTCCTGTTAAAATTCAAAAGAAATAATTTAAAAGTCACGCGCAAGTTCGCGAAAACACCTCGTGGGTTACATAACAGGGGGTGAATATTTTCACGAAACGTTTGTTCGCCACCACAGCAACCTAACTAAATGTATTATATTTTTTGTATTTTTATAATTGATGATAAATATACGCAAATATTTATTGTTTTTATCAAAAATCACAAATATACAATAAATATAATGTACCTAACTTAGGTTGCTGTGGCCTGTGGTGGCGAACAAACGTTTCGTGAAAATATTCACCCCCCCCTGTTATGTAACCCACGAGGTGTTTTCGCGAACTTGCGCGTGACTTTTAAATTATTTCTTTTGAATTATAACAGGTAAATTGTACTGGAGGTTTCTTCCTCCCAAGTACAAATAATATTTCCAATTTTTGGATTGGTACTATTCTACAATGAAGTACTCTTGGATAATGTAATCTAAATACATATGAAAACGAAGATGTGGCATTTATCGGGCAGAGAAGCGGCGAGTCATTAAAATGGCGGCAATTTGACGAGATATCGAAGGACACATTATGGAAGATAAAATACACTGCACTGTTTCAAAAGTGGATTGAAGGTCTTCTTCAGCCATTTATGATTATGTAAAAGTACAATAACTCGATGATATTTGCGTGATTTGGCGATAAAAAGCAAACAAGACGGCAAAATATGGCTGAAATCGCGTTTTCTTGGTTGGGTAAGTGAAATAAAATTTATTATATTTAAAGAAAACAATGACAATCCTTATGAAATCAACAATATTTATATTAAATTAAGCATAGTTTTTAACCCCATGATATTTTTTTTAGGAAATAAGAATATTTAATTTCTGCCAGGCATATTAGTTATTTTATGCATAATCAGCAATTTACCTGGGGTGGTGCATGGTCATTTTCTTGTAAAATATTATACTTAGACAAATTTTTTCTTCCAATGACCACCCCTAAAAGCAACCCTTCTAAACACTATAAGCACCTCAGAAAGACTATCGCTTTTTGTTTTCTGAAGTTAGAGCTATGTCGACACTGCCGTTTCAGGGCGGGGTCATTTTCAGGACTTTTGTCCCGGATTCAGCTTTTGGCACATATGCCATGTTGACCGCCATGGTCATTTCACCCTAAAACAGTTGAGATTACCTGTGCTAAATGAAATGCATACAAACTCATATACAGGTCCTAGACTACAAGGCAGGTCAAGTTTGTATCGAAAGCGATTGACTGTTAGATTTTCTTTTATAGTACTTTATAACTAAAAAATGTTATTTCCTACAAATTTAGCTTTATTGTAGCTTTATTAAAGGTATAAAAAAACCTGGAAACGGTGAATTACTATAGCTTGAAAATAATTATTAAACTATGATTGAAATTATCGACGTAGAATGCTATATTTCGTTGTATTAAATTTCAATACTATATAAATAGTAATACATTTGACATCCGTAAGTACAATTTCTTGGTATTTTTATTCTTATTGCGCCATTAGACATTACAAATACAAAGACAAACGTAGTGCGAGTGATTTGTTATAAATAACAATACATACTGCGAGTCTGCGAGCGATTTGTCAATACAATTTCGCTTGATTTTCAAAGGCCATAAATCGCTAGAATACTGGTGTTCAGTAATACACTTGACATCCGTAAGTACAATTTCTTTATACGCTGAATCGTACGGTGTCGCTTTCTTCTCAAAATATAGGAATTGGTTTATAAATCATAGTGAGCATGTGTAATGTGATAGCTAAATTCACTGAGCTATAATATTACAGTAATATTATTATAGTTCAGGGGCTAAATTGCGCAATCCTGAGCCCACGATGCCGCAATGGAAAGTCACACTTGCGACAACAAAAAAAACACACAAAAAAACCGAAGAAATTCCGCGCATTCCAGCGAGGGCAAATTATGACACTGGCTGCGGCCAGTGTAATTAAACCTCCATCGACAACGGTAGCTGATTTTTTTATTCCATCTCAAATAAAACAAATGTTATTCTTATTAGCTGTTACATGTGTTGGAGACTGTTATTGCTATAGACATGGAATTTTCCAGACTACATTCTATAAATACTCAATATAAAAATATATCTCATGAGTCAAACAATGACAACAGTCAACAGGGGCCCCCACACCAAATATGCCTAAGGGCCCCCTGTTCCTCTGTTACGTCACTGATCTCAATGAAATTTAGATATGTGTCCAAGATACAGTGGGAGGGCTCTCCTAACTGACTTCATTCTGAGGACAAGTACAAGTACTGCAAATAACTAACTATATTATATATGTAGTAACAGCTTAATCAGCCTGAATTATTACAAAATGTATATAATCTTTTTGCACGGGCCACATTTTCTCACCTCATTGTATGTGAAAACTGAAAAGTGTATAGCTAGTAAGTTTCTATCCGAGTGTGTCCACTATCTGAAGATTTTGCCACTATAGCTACCCCACCTAACCCAACACCCCTGGTCCACCCTTAAAAGTTCATATATAGCAACCAAATACAATATCAGATAAATATACCTAATGGCTAATCCCTCAATAACTACATTGACAACCCAATGTTTACACATTCCAGTCTCGTGTGATGGTCTGGGGCTGTCTGGACTTGCGACGTTAGATTACGCCTAAAGACACTAAATTTCTCAGAATTTTAGGCATCTAAGAAGGGTTTTGACTTTGATGTAAATTTCGAGTGTGAAATTTTATACATTTATTAGACCTAACCATGAACAGTTGCGGAAAATGTAACTATATATAGTCCCTCTCGGGCAGGAATCGAACCTGCTGTCCTGCGATTCCAATCCATGTAGCGCTCTAACCAACTAAGCCCAGAGTCCAGTTGTCGAGCTCTAATATATAGGTAGTACCGAAAATACTGAACTAAATCAATATATATACCTACAATTCAAAGCAAACATTCCCCAGCTTGTTTATAAAATTGGAAATATTTCTTCAGTACTTTTGTGTGGATCAATATATAGGAGTTTTGTTTTCTGACGTTTTGTAATAAACAAACGTGCAGAGAGATACACAAACTTGAAAACGACGGGTAAACTTTTAATCCAGGGGCCGGTTGTTTAAATCTGGATTATAGCGCTAACCTTCGGCGCGGTTAAAATTTAACCTGCTGTTTTGGTTTATGTATTTCCACACATCTGTTTATTTCACAAAACTTCAGAGAAGAAAACTTCTACTGATCCAGACAATATTTCTGAAGAAATATTTGTAAATTTATAAAGTTTGCTTTAAATTTTAGGTTAACCTAGGGTTAAGCTATTAATCTGCTTTCGAAAAACTGGCCCCAGGGTTAGATCTAATCCATATTAATTTGAATTGGCTTTGTTGTGTGTCCGATGTAGCATTTCCTTCTTCAACCATAGATTTATTAATATTTTATTTGTTTCATATATAGATTAATATCACGAGATATATGACTGGTTTGGCGTTTGCCATATTACTTGGTCTCTATTTTTTGTTATTTCTTTGTAAAGGTAAGAACTCTATTAAACTAGACAGAACAAATAATAGATTAATTGTCACAGTTTTTTCTCGATAAGCACAACAAGCTATTAATACTCAAGGTTTTGGTTTTAGGGAATATAGGCCTGACGGAACAAAACATATTTATTTATACTATTGGGTGCTTTTTCGCATTCTTGAATCTAGCTCTATATGACTATGTAGTGAAAACAATTATAATCTTGCATGGGCATAACGCTTGAGTCCATTTCCTGCAAAGTTTATCATGTACATTCAGAAAACAAACTTCGCGATTTCATCTCGCCGTAAATTCAAATATCTGAACACTTGTGAGGAATTTTGACAATGCGCAGCCTTGCAAGATATATGTTTTCTGAGCAAACGTCTTTAATATTTATTCCGTCATATTTTTTATAAAAGATCACCGGCCGCCTGTTGGACTTGTTGGGATTAAATTGGACTTCTTTACTTGGCTACAAACATACCGCATTACCGCTATAGTTAGCTTAACTGCATTTGCTTATTTTTTGTATCTCATGCCACAGTTGCGATGTGTCTTTTAGCCATCCCCTTTCCCCTGCATGCACGATTCCCCTTGTAACAATTAATATGTGATTGTTATAGTAAAGCACTCTTCCCATACCCCCAATTAAAACATCACATATTCGTCTGTGAAGCACCCAATCATGGATAAGTTCTATAGGAACATTGGCTGACCCTGAAACGTAATCTGTTCCATTATTTTTAACTTTTTAAAAATTAGATTTTTTGTATTTAGGATTAGGAGTGATCATTTCACCACGTGATGGAACAAAGCTTACATTTGTACCTGGATCAAGTAGGAATATAACATGGACATTTGATGATGCTAAAGCAGCTTACCGGGATTGGTCTTTCACAAGTAGTGACGGCTTAGGAAGTGGGTTACTTGGAGGAATAGTTTCTGATTTTGAGCCTCAAACAACAACGGACGTCTTACCCGGGGTTAACATAATAAAGCCAGGAACATTGGCTTTAAGCAATGTTGATCAAAATTATAATGGAACATACACCTTTCTCCTTAAAGTAAATGGCAAGCCAGATGATACGTCTCATGTGATTGTTTTTATTGCAAGTAAGTTCATTAAAAATATGCAATATAAATTATTTGAAGGTTTCGTCACGGACAGTTTATAGAAGGGACAAGGCAGCATGTATGAAGATCCATGCATGCATGCATGCATGCATGGGCATGCTTATTAGAAGTTATCATATATAACTGATTAAAGTATTTAAGACAAAAAGATTCAGATCTATTCGATCATTTTTGAAAATCGAACATGCATAATTATGTCAACAACCAAAAATTTTGAAATCCAATGACGAAGACTATGCAATTAACGTCGCAAATTTATTCATCAGTTTGGCGGTCGCTAGTTGTACGGCGTCTTCGTCACATTTTTCATACATGTGTATAAAGTCTCGATCAATGCAATATTTTGAAATACTTCTTATATGAAATAATTTTTATACTGTTCCACACTGGAAAATTTAAACAATTTGCAAATTTTGGTTTTCTAAACTTTCTATAGAAAATTTCCGCGCTTTTTCTCGAAGATCTCTATATACTATATAGAATTTTAGAGGTTGACCGAATTTCAAACCTTATTTCAGGTAATTTCTCCGTATTTTCCACAATATGAGAGTGTTTCAAATTTTTTAGTGGTCCGTGCATTGCCTCCCAGAGAAATTGGGGGGCCATGGACAAATTTGTAATTCGTGGGCCCTATTTTTCCCCAAAAAAAGTTGGTTAGCGAGGGGGGGTTGGAAAAAGTTTTTTTGACATCGCTTTATTTTACTACCGGTATTAAAAAATTGTCATTGTCAATGACTTACTGGCCATTTTCAATGAAAATCCGCATCAAAATCTAGTTCAAATTTATCCAAAATACCGTTGGCAACAAATTACTTTAGTTCGCAACAAGTCCCGAAAACGCATAAGTGCATGAGTATATACTGTCAAATGATATCTTTAGTGAACAAGCATTTATTGACTTCAATAATTCTCTCCATGACTGAATTTATTTATTTACTCGTCCTTTAATTTTTAATTTTTTTGTTAAAACATCGATCTTTGCCCAACCTTAACTTTACAAAATAACTTTACCGTACATTTTTAGTAAAGCCAACTGTGACAACTTGTTCCAGTCCTGTCACAGTGGTTGAAGGGAATGATATTACATGTGAATGTCAAGGACAGGGTGGTAACCCTGCTGCCAATGTAACATGGTTTAAAGATGACATACAGATCGGTAAAACAGGAAAGGAAGAACAAACATTAACTCGACGTAATGTTAGTGCTGCAGATAGCGGAACGTACAAATGTGTAGCCGAGAGCTATCCAGATGCAAAGTTTAAAGATGAAAGATTAATCACAGTTGTAGTAAAACTTAAATGTAAGTATCGTTGCCGTTGGTACTCAAGTTAAGCATTATACAGTATTTCAGTGTATATTTAGTAATAGAACTACTGTTCATAACCTTACTACTAGCTACTAGCCTAAATATACAACATGCATGCAGTGACTGTTTTATACTGACTGTGCAAGAATAGAGCATTGCAATACAGGATAAATTGCTAACGATTCACACGCATGAACGATTAGTGTAATTGCATGAACTATATATAAACTATAAGCTTTCTGGCTGAAATTGATCTTGCATGTGACCTTTTGTTCTTCTGCTTTAAATTCTGCAACTTCTTCAGCAACTTAAAAACAGGAAAATAAACATTTAAATTATAAACTGAAATGTTGAAATATGCAACTTATCCTCGAACAGAATTCATTTACTTTTAAACAAGACTCTCTATAAGCGTTAGTTGTATGCTACGTGTTACTCATGCAAAGTTCTTTCTTCTTACATTTTATTCAATTAACGAGTATTTTTAACTAAACTTTTTACAGAGCATTGTTTGTTGTTTTTTCTAGCGCTAGACTATGATCTGAGCCTGTTTCCTTAGAACTGCCACTGATACTTATTTGAGTGTAATAGTCGTTACGTAATTTTACGTTACTAAATCAAACATGCAGCGTAACGTCTTTTTTGAGACAGTCAGCAATTGTCTGTTTTCATTAGTATGATAGAGATTTTGTTTCTTCACAGTTAAACCTAACGAGACAGCCATTAGGCTTACACCAGAAAGATCTGTAATTGGTGAATCAGTTAACATAACTTGTGAATCTAGTGGTTTGCCTAAGCCACGTTATTCCATAATCCATAATGACACTGAGGTAAGTAGTGAGAGGACGTATACCATATCCAAAGTGAACTGGAGTGATGCTGGAACATATCAATGTACTGTGGAGAATGAACTTGGACGTAATTCAAAGTGCTCTTGTTTGACCGTCGTAGGTGAGATATTCAAATCACCAACTATTTATAAAACTGAAAATGTTAACATTTAATGATCTAGTTTAATTACCGACATGACATGGCATGAAACATGATTGGACTGATGGGATGAGATTGGGACTACGGAATGCATATTGGAGCCCATTTTATGTGGGTTTTTTTGTATATGCATTTGTGCTCCTCATTCTTGTTATTCATAGTTTCAGGTTACTATAAAACTGAGCTTTATATACATTATCTTATAGTACTAGTCTAAGTACATCTTCACGAGTGCACCAGCTCAAGTACACGGCAATAATCATTGGAGTATACCAGTGAGGTACGACTGAAAATATTGATCCAATTCAATTATGAACGAAAATAACTTTGCCTGCATAACAATCGTATCTTCGTCCTCTTTTCTCTCTTCTTTCTGGCGACTACATTTTACAAATAAAATAATTTTTAAAGAGCACCACCCTCAAATAAACCCCGCATCCAAAGCACAAAAAACTGATGTAATGAGTAGTATAGGTACCATTTCTGCACCAGAATGATACCTACTGCATCATCATATATAACTACAAGTGAGCACCATAATCAGAAATTTAAGTGCAAGTAACTGAAAATTAACTTATTATGTCTATTTAATCTTACTTCTCTCAATGAATCAGGGCAACCTAATAAGAAAAATATACAACGTGTTATATGCATTAATATTGACAGATACAATATCGCATCAGCATGTACAACACTGTCATTGGCATCTCAGTCTCAATTCCTCCGCATCCTGCAGTTACAAGTTGTGTTTGAGCTAATATTCTAACTTATCAATTTTCAAATGTTTCTGTTCAGGAGAGAAAGCAGCTTCTAAGAAAGTGGATTGTGAGAGCAGCACAGAAACTGTTGTAGTATGGCATATCGTGGTATCTTTGGTGTCTGGAGTTATCATTGGGCTTTTTCTTTCCCAAATTGTCTCGTGTTCTCGTCGTCGCTGGTTTATAAACAGAAAACCTGAACGAAATCCTGAACCAAAGACAGCTGATGTTGATACAACTTATCAAGAGCTTGATCTAACAAAAATAAACACAGAAGATAATTATCAGTCGTTGAGAGTGAATGCTGCAAGTAATGTTGCTGGAAATCGAGCTGCAAATGACGATGACTCTACGAAACCAGAGATGTGGAGAACAACTATCAATCTTTAACTTGAACCTGGAATATCTTTTAAAGATAAAGGTAGCCTTCAGGCATCTTTATTGGGATCACATGTATCACATGTTTTAAAACCACAGAAACCAGGGTAACCTTTAGAGATGCTTGCGGAGAAGGCCAGATTAAAAATCAAGGAAAATGTTTTTATTCAACAGTGGGTCTGAGACTGTCCCAACGGTCCTTTTTCTTCTCCAGACGTAATTGCCTAATTGGCAATGGCTGCGCTAACACCAAACCCACCACACCACACCTGGTCTCCCCGTCTGTTTTTGGTTCCATCAACCATCTAAAACACCATTTCAACCATCTAAAACAACCATGGAGTGCGCATGTGCGTGGTTGTTATTTAGTACCCAGTCTCCAAAAATAGTAATTATAAATAATTAATATTATATTATTTATATTTATGCACAATGGCGACGGCGAGTACGGTAAGCATGGCGTGTAGTTCATTTACATATAATTTGCATATTGAGAAATGTTTTCGGGGATACTATTGTTTGGTATTTTTCGTTCTTTGTTCATATTGTTGTTAGAATAATTTCTTGTGCATATATTGCATAAATAGAGTCAAACCGTTACCGAAGGATTACAGGAAAGTGATGGAAATATTCTAAACCGCAAAGGAAAAAAGGTAAATTATGTATTTTTTTGTAGACTTTTACTGAATGTAAAATTGGGGATTCATGAGCGGGGGGGGGGGGCATGGATGGTTGTATACCATTAGATTTCTGAATGGAAAGTCAACAATTTTAACTTCCATGACTGGATATTTAGGGGAATAAACTTTTCTGTTTTCGGCATGGTGGAATAAACTTTTCCCTTTTCGGCATGTGTAAATGCCTTTATTGCAACAAAAACATGACGTCAAGCACTTAAATGACTTCATCCCGGCAATGTATTTTGCGCATATAAACACTAGGCGAGTTTCCTGTCTAGGCGGGATGAAAATGTCCCGTCCCGTCTAGGTGGGATCATATAAACAGGCCCTTAATGGCTTCCATGCAACTCGTTTTCATTATGGCATCCCAAATCATAATTTTGGAATGAAAACCAATGCACATTTGAATATTCATTTAGAACTACATACAATTTATTAAAGTGAAAAAAGCTTTAAAAATTTTAGTTTGAAATTTATTTGATGGCTTTTTCACTAGGGGGGGGGGGGCAGCCCTCCCTACTGTGTTTATATGGAAAATTTCTAGGTGAGATCTTCTTCAACATAAAGAAAACAATTCTAATAGGGAAATGTGTTAGCAAGCGGGATCTCGCCTAGGAGGACCAGCCCTTCATGTAGGCCGTGCTCATATAAGCAGGGCCTGAGAATGACATTTTGCCAAGACAGTGTATTAATTAACCTTTTCATTAAAGGTTGATTTTCATAATCATGAATGCATGTACCTTGAATGTATTATGCTATGAATGGGTCATTCCAGAAAAGATCCATACCCCCCCTACGGAGGAAATCGAAAATAACCCCCTCCCCCCCTTCGGACATCCTTGAATGGTTCATCCTCCCCCCTCTCCGGACATCAAAGCCCAAAATTACCCCCCTCCCCTTCGGACATCCACTATTTCTAAATTTTTCTAAAGGCTACCTCGCCATTTGAAAACGTCACCGAAAATTAGACTACGTTCACACTACGCACAAGCGAACTAATGCGGGCAGAATTTATGTGTGTTCACACTACCGCCATTACAGTTTACAAATTGAATTAGCACTCGTGTAAACCCAAAATATTTCAAATAGACCCAAGAAATTTAACTGAAAAGCATTGGAGTTTACACGTTTCTGTTCACACAAAGCTATCAAGCGCTCCGCCGTTTTCACCTCGCTCCGTTTAGGAACCGTGCTCAAATTGTTATGACAAAAGTGACGTGAAAGTTTTCAAATGATTTCGCTCCAGCGTAGAGTGAATTAGCGATGGCTTATTAGTTATTGTGACTTTTCTACGCGGTTTTCAAATAGCTCCAGCGTGGCGGAACACTTGGCGGCTTCTTGTGACTTGCGAACACAAACACGTGGCAGGTTTTGTCAGATAATTTGCAGAAATTCACTTCAAAATTCGTTCAAATAAAATTCGGACTGAAATTCGATGTAACTTGCGACTGATTGACAAGTGTTGCTATGTTTACTTACATGTTAATGCATTTTTTGGTATTACTGCATTCCTTAACCTCGCCCTTAATATGAAAGCCATTTCTATTTTCTGGACACGCACCTCGCAAGGAAGTTTTATTGACTATATATACTAAAACAAATTGTTTTGAGTTCAGTTCACATAGCAGTCTCTTAATTCGAGCAACAGTTTATTTAATAACTATTATTTTTAACACTTGAATAATTCAAACTTATATATACGAACGAAAACTGCAAAACTTTACTTTTATATAAATAAAGCGTGTCAATTTTCGACTCATTCTCAACATGCAGGATACGCTGTTACAGCGAGTTAGTTTTTGGTGGCTATGCATGCAAAAGTGGGCCGCTTATTTTGCTTACGAGTCACGTGGACGTATAATTATTGCTGTTACATAAACGTTCCGGTGTTCAAGAGCTACATATAGCTGATAAAAATTGCTAAGACATTTTTCCTCCCTCCCCCTTCGGACAGCAAAAATTTCCTCCGTGGGGGGGGGGGTATGGATCTTTTCTGGAACGACCCAATGTAAAATATTTGAGGAGCAGTGCACCCTGATTCCATTTCAGAACCATCCTCAGCGATACAAAAAACTAGTTTCATATTATTATTTAACAATTATTCACCGAAGGCGAGGTGATTATCGGTGAATAAAAACCGAGACGAAGTCGAGGTTTTTATTCACGATAATCACCGAGCCTGAGGTGAATAATTGTTTTAGTATAATTTCGTAGGTGATTATTTGGAAAAAAATAAGAAAATACACATTTCTTCGTCATTTAATTGACAAAAAGGCTTCGGCCGCCATTTTGAAAATCGCTTAGGTAATTATCGCGTAATAATCACCTCAACGGCAACCAATCAGCATGGAGAATTTTCAATAATCACCTATGCAATTATACTAAAGACTAATATTGCACCCTGATGTGCCCTACTTTGCGATGTTACTCTTTCTAACACCAGATGACTTTACTTGTAGATTACTGAAGTAATTGCAGAAGTATATATATACATGTAATATCAATGATTTATTTAATGTAATTATTTAAATAATTACTATACAAATGTATAGATTATATTAGATAATGAATGTATAATGTCAAAATACAGTACTTTAACAACATTAATTTAATTATATTACTTATTGAAAAATAATACTTCAACTCAATTTTGTGTTTGTTGATAGGTGGAGTATGAACCAAATCCCAAACGAAGGACACGTATAAATAGAGAATTCCAGACACGCATAAGTCGAAAGGTAAAAAAATCAATTGCCAAAAATTTGTGGCTCAAAATGATCCACATACAGTATAATTTCATAAGGTTTTCAACACTGAGAGCAAGTCGTTTCATACACATGAACATAATTTTATTGAGAACTGTACAGTAAATGACTGCATGCCTATGTACTGTATACAATGCAGTCATTCTTGGCATGTAGTAAAACACTGACTACCAGAACACCACCGGAACACCACTGCCATTTTGTTTGGGGTTAGGTTTGGGGTTAGGGTTGGGGTTAGGGTTGGGGTTAGGGTTAGGTGGTGTTCCGGTGGTGTTCCGGTGGTGTTCCGGTGGTGTTCCGGTAGTCAGTGTTTTACTACATGTTGTCATTCTCAAATGTTCCGCCTTAATTCGTTCCCATGGAATTAACATGCCCCACTGAGGCATTCCCTGTGCAAAAATTGCATAGTTGTATTTTTTCCTTGATTGCAGTATACCATTTGCAAAACATTGATATAGCTTAAAAAGTTGTGTAGGATGTATTTATTTACTAGTCACTGTATTTCCATTCTTATAAAGATTAAAGAATGGCACACCAGGACAAAGATACCTGTATTAATTTTGACATACAGGAATAATTTGGTATGGTATGAATGTAAGTTAACAATCGATATAGAAGAAGTATATCTAGGAATAGTATCCCATTTCATTAAAATCAAATATTTTTTGTGATGTGTCATTATGTGGAATATGGATCAATACAACATACAATATAATCAATAAATAAGTGTGGATTATTAATTGTGTAAGTGCATGTAATTGTACCATGGTTTCTTGGTTAATTAAACCATAATGACATTAATCAGTTAATCTCTTATTGAGCATCAATAACTTTGAAAAAATAAATAAATTTCCCCCCATTTGATTGTACTGTAGTACTAACTTGCCCACTATTATATAAATAATGCAAAACTTGACATGTTAATGCTTACAAATTGCATGGAATTATTAAGTCTTACTGTATGTACAGTATTCCACTGAGAGGCACAGAATTCAGTCTTGATTTTCTGCACTTTCAAAAAAGCATCTTGCTCACTTTTCTGCTCATCTCCCCCCCCCCCTGCCCCTCTAAACCAACCCACCTCTTTTCAGTAACCACCATTATTTCAGAAAATTTATTATTTTCCATATAACTTCTTTGTCTTTTTTAAGATGGTTTATCCCCCCTCCCACATTAAGAAGGGGTTTGAACTATGTTTTTTGGACTGTGGAGCTGTCAATTGGGTGATAGCTTAATTTTCTTAAAATATGGTTTATTACAGTATAGCTACACATTCTGTAGGTTCTGAAGGCCTTCAGGGATTTGCAGACAGTAAGACTGTACGCCAATCATTTATTAAGCACTGCATAAAGTCAGCAAAGCAAAACCAAGGTAATAAATTTATACAACATGCACACAAAGTTGATTTACTGTGTATGTACCGGTAATGTAATGTAATGTTCTGTACCAAACTTGTGTCAATACAACATCATGTCTCACAAATTAACATTTAAAAAAGGTTTTGTTTACTAAAATATCCCAGCTTCAAATGGCTCTCTCAAAAATACACAAATCTCCTCGCTGTAATTATAGCAACAATGTCAATCTACGTTGGGGGAAGGGGTCATTTGACTCAGTTCTGATGTTACAGGAATGTATTTCAATACTACTACCGTATCATTCACCCATAGGGTATAGAGTGCTGCCCAAGGAGAATGATATAGCAATAGTACTGTAGATTGTTTGTTTTATTGTTCTTCTAGATTATTACAAAATTAAATAAGTTTTGTCTAACGTTTCGGTTTCCTATACGAAAACCATTTTCGAAGACTTGAACGTTTGTTCATTTTATCCGTTGATGTTTATCTTGCGTCAGCTGCACGGTTGCGTCACAGAGTAGAGGCATACAGAGACGTAACTAGTGTACCCACTTTTTTTGTGCGCATGCTCGGCAAGTTACTAGATGCATGCATCTGATTGGATAACGACCTGATGACGACTCACTTTAAACTTGCTGAGCACGCGCAGTTGATCATTTTTCGCCCGGTCGCCTGAAAAAAAGTGGGTACATGATAACGTAATCTTCCGCAGTGTTTACAACGGTCAGTTACGTCTCTGTATGTCTTATCTACTCTGTGGTTGCGTGATTGTCTTCGCCAAAGATACTTAATCTTTGTCTTCGCGTGCGTTCACATTCTGCGTTCAAAAAAAATGAATGAACCTGGATTCAAACCTTTTAACGAAGTACTGTAGATGTTATACTCAGTCTCCGAGGGTTATTGATTTTAACTGACAGTGGGAGATTAACAAAAATGCACTGATGACCATTCAAAGCTTATTAAATGAAAATATCTGTGTTCACCGACCAAACAGTTTTCATATTCCAGTTAATATATCCCTGATAGTTGGTTGTGCAATCATGTTCAAATAGTATCCAATTTTTTTAATATTTTATGTCATCATTTGGTACAGTTGTTTCCCATCAAAACAGTAAAGTTTTGTCTCCATAATTGAAGGCAGTCTAATTGGCGGTGTCATGGCATATTAAAAGTTATTAAATCAATTCAAACAGGCTCATACCTAAAGTGACTTGATATGAAAAGGCACAAACTAAAACAAGAGTTCGCCTTGGGAAATGCAACTTTGCACTCTCAATATATTTTTGAAATATTTGCAACTGTTTATCTTATCAATTTAGTCAAGACAAAAGCAGTGAAGAAAGATGTGGATTTCCCTGTAGGAAGCCAAATAAACTATGCAGAGTATACTGTTCCAGCACTGAGGAAAATGGTGACATTGGCTGTTAAGTTGGATGGTAATTAAAATAGTACTGTAAATGTAGTAATTTACCTAGGTACAATAAAATGTATTATTATTTTTATGGTCCACAGCATGTATAAGTTTACTTCCATCTAGGGCGAAAAACCTCAAAGTGGAATGATCCTGGGATGAAACCATTGTGGTGGCCAAAGGATGTTGAATACAGGAACGTGAATTGGGGAAATAACAAGCCACATGTCGATGAGCTAGTCAAAATAATGGAAGCGTTTAACACTGATTATTGTCGCATTAGTAATGGCAATAGTAGCAGTGTTAAAAATGATCAGGAAATTGGGGATGATGGTGATGATAATGAAAGTGATGACGATGGTATTGACAATGATGATGATGATGGTGTTAATAATAGTGATAGTGATGGTGGTTACGGTGATAATGATAATGGTGGTGTTCATGGTAATGGTGGTAGTGTAAGTGAACAGGGCGAAAGTGGCAATTATGATGATGGCGATGTTAATATTCGTATAGTATGTCAGAACTTGCTAATGCTGTTCAAAATAATGATGTGATGGAAATTGATGAAGGTGTCAGTACATTAGAAAGAAATGACCTACAGGAAAGAGCTATCATGGTTAGTGCTACGAATATATGGGCAAATCATGTACTGACAGATGCGATACATGTATTTGTCCCCTATACCTACCCATTACATTCTTTTTCATAATAGATAAAAATACTTGATCTTTTCGCTGTGATTGCCATATAAATAATATGTAGCTGCTAACGCAAGCCGTACACATTACAATAGTAACAGTATTCTTATATTCACATTATTCTATACATTTTGTTTTTACTTTAGTGTGATTCAATGAATAACGATTCATCCAACACGTTAGCATTATTAAAAAGTCTCAGCATGCAGTCAGATTGGGAAAAGTTCCTGAACATTTGCAACATTATTAAACCACATTTGAAGCCCCTTCCTGTTTTTCACAATGGATTTATCACCAAAGACGTTGTCCATAAAAGGTTAGCAATATAATTACTTACGTTTTTGCTGACGATGTTAACTGATGTCACTGCATTTACTTTTTTGCATCTTTTTACGTTTCACATCAATGCAATCCTCCTGTACTGAATATAGGATGCAGGTTACCTGTACATGTCATTCCTTACGTAGGACCATAAACTACCATATTCAGTTCAATGTATACGTCAACTAGTTTCTTAAATTAAAATAATAATTCATTCAGTGTTTGTGCCACGATTCTAATGCTTCTAACAAATCTTGTAGGCAAGATTAGGTGGTGTTCATCAATTTATTTCACGTTAATATTAAGTGTATTAAATTGTTTGTTTTTCTTTTTCTGTAGTTTACGACGCCAAGTTCCGAAAGAACTTCTCAATCAGCACTTGGAGCCAGGAAAAGTGAAAGCTGATGGAAATTGTTTTTTCCATGCTGTTGTCATGGCAATAACTTTGGGAGATTGTGTTTACAATCGTGATAATTTGGCTAACTTACTGCGCCTTTATACCACAGTTAACGGTGCCACAAAAATGGAAGGATTTATAGAAAGGGTATATGACAATTTAAATTTTCTTAATACTTTGTATCGTTATTCGTACTACCCTGCATGTGCTATAATTGCTGCGATTTTAGGTGCGATTTGTATTTACTCATTCACATCCATCAAGGGAGAAAATCGCAGCACAAATGCATGTGTAAACGGACCTTTACAGTGCAAATTTAATAGCGTTGCACAATTTGTACCTTGCAGTTGTCTAGAAAATTTTCTCTGCCTGGTCAGCTTGAAAATCTTGCTCACACTGTCACAACGGAGAACATTTTGAACAAGGTGTCTGCAAGGGAAGCGTCTAATGAACGTGAGCTTCTTAAAGCGGTATACATGGAGGAAGTAAAATCTACGGCAATCGATGGAAATTATTCTGGTATTAATGAATATAATAACTAGTGAACTGTTTATCGTATTATAGAAATTCTAAAACCCCGTACAGAATAGCAAGTTTGCCTTGTCGCGTTTTCCTTGACAAGTTTGTTGTTCGTGTTCACGGAATGTTAATTGTTAATCAATGTCGCGTATTTGCGATGAAAAGTGTTCAAAACCGAAAATCTTTTTGGCGTACATCTCAAAATTACTTTGTTTTAGCTTTATTCTCTAGCTTATACAGCTAGCAGTCCTTGAAACTCAGGTCGGCATTCGGCAATGCCGACCTAAATGCCGACCTTCAAAGCGGTATGTGTAGATTGAGGTCGGCAAAATTTTTCCGACCTACTTTCAAATACGTCTCGGCATTTTCTTCCGCGAACGCGTCTTTCGCGTACGCATTTTCAACGATGATGTTTTAATTATCAGGTTTTGATCATTAGCTTGCTTTGCGAGTGTCAAATTTACAAACATTGCAGTTTCATTGTTGAAAGGTGATACTTGAAACTTTGAAAAGTAAACATCGTGTTAAAATCATCGAGCTTCAAGATTTAAGCGAAACAATATTGTAATAAAGTAGTGTACGGTTTGTCACAACATTTGGTCACAACTGTCAACATGCACTGTTCGATTGGAGACTGGAGTTCATACATTTTGTTAGTTGTCCATACATTGTTCATACATTGATTGCAATTAATTGCTGCTTATTATAAATACGCGTATTTGCAGCAAGCGAATTTTCATTTGGATATTGTCTATTTGTTTTGAAAATATTTGGCGACCCAGATTGAGAATTATCGCTTTCAGCTCGGCAATTTCTTGCCGACCTGAAATTTCTGGAGTTTCAAGGACTGAGTTAGCTACCTATTTAAATGCATTTGCCGGCTGAGAAAAATAAAATATAGTAAAGAATTGTCAATTAAAATGCAATTATCAATGATGCTTTAAAAGTGACGCCATGATTTACAGCAATATAAGCAAAACATACTGAACTTTAGACATCATTTTCTCTTTTGCGTACCATCTAAAATCTCTTTATTTTAGCATTATTTTACAGACTAATCACTAAACATACTTTTTAAGTTTGTTTGCCGCTTGAGAAACGTATCAAAAATTAAAAAATTGAATATAATCATAACCAATCAGTTGAAACGTTAGTTTTGAGCGCGTGTCACGTAACATACATTTATCTCAACTTGCCAGACGTTTTCACTGCAAACTAATCCAATCAACTGACCAGTCAAATTGTTGATATCATTTTCATGGTGATATGCGTGAAAGATTTCGCCAAGTGGGAAGAAAAACTGTGCTAAGATTTCGATTATGTATAGGGCTTCTATTTTTTTTAAAGTTTATGCATGAGCTTGTGATTTCTTAAAAATAAAATATCTTTTCAGGTATTTTACAGGTAGCTTGGCTTGCAGACTGCATTGAAACGCTAATCAGCATGCATTGTGGCATTCCTGGACATGAGCTTTATGACAAACCGATTGGATCACGTCTCTGGAACAAAGAAATTCACATTCTTTGGGTCGACTTGAAGGGGACAAGCAAAAATGTTCCTAGTTCAGCAAACCACCTGGTGCCACTTATAAAAACACGACACGACGGTATGCTAATCTGTGCATGTTCATTGGAAGTGTCGGCGATAGTTTTGTAACCAATATTTCATGTTCGTATTTAACATATAGAATCGAGAATATGCTGTTAAGAAGGAAACACTTATTTAACACGTTCTAGAAACATTCGGCCCAGTACTTGATGCATGCATGTCCCTGGAAGACATTGAAAATTGCTACCATTAGGGATCCAACCAACATTCAAATTTTCTCTTTACGTTTACAGCGTTTGGATGTTCAATATCGTTAACCTATATTTATACAATGATCCGAATTAAAAATCAAATGCTGAATATTTTAATTGAAGACACGATACTCGATAGCATGTGAAATATTTGAATGTTAGGGTTTGTAATCCAAGTGATTATATACATTTTAAGACCTGACCAGGAACGACTGCGAAAAATGCAGCACAAGGTCCTCTGGTAGGAATTGAACCTACGGCCCTGCGATTCCAGTGCAGGTTCAATTCCTAACAGAGGGCCTTGTGCTGCATTTTTCGCAGTCGTTCCTGGTCAGGTCTTAAAATGTATATAATCACTTGGATTACAAACCCTAACATTCTAATATTAATTCCACCAAGTGAAGTGCAAGAAACCACATCATTCAAGTGTGAAATATTTAAGAATTATTGGATGAAGCTGAGCAGGATATCAGAATTAGTTAGACCGAGGTCAGCGTTATCTGCCGAAGCGAAGCTGAGATAATGCTGCTGACTGATCATTATTATTCTTTTATTCTTTTATTTTTCAAAACCAGCAGAAGCCATTGTCAAAACAAAATAATTTTACAAAATTTTCCGCTCTTTTCCAATTCATGCAAAATACCGCTGCAAAAATACGCGGGCACCTACAGATACGAGATTTATTTGTCATGTTAATGTCTGCACCGAGATACGGAAAATTATCTGTAGGCTTTCAACCAATAAGAATACGAGAAAATAGTACAAAGAATAATAATATCTTTTCTTTCTTAAGGCTGATATGCACTACACAACTTTTGCCTAAAACTGTCGGCGGTCGCATGCAACCTGCTTACAACTTGATTTACAACGTACAGTAACTCAGTAAGCAAGTTGTGAGCTTGATTTACTATAGCTACAACTCAAGTTGTAATCAGGTTGCATGCGACAGTTTTAGGCAAAAGTTGTGTAGTGTATATCGGCATTTACTCCTTTTTCAGTTTTACAGTACATTTATATAAGTTGATGTTTTTGTCAACGTTATCTGCATCATATAATAATAATTATATTCTCACTTACATATAATTAGTAGGGGTTTTATATTGCAGAATTTAACTGTGAATCCACGTGCAATGCGAATAAATATTGCCAAGTTCAACGAGGCTGTGATGACAATGCAGTACAATGTTCTGACTGCCTGCAAAGATTCCATCCTGAATGTGTCTTTGGTTTTGGAGAGGAACATGATCAACGCGAGTGGACCTGTGGATGTAATGCAGATTTTCTGGCAGTTAGGTTTGTCATATATTGATTGGTATATGCATGATATGAATTATCTTGTACTTCCTGGAAGTGTGCTTGTATGCAAGCTAAAGTTTTTCAGATGAAGTTTGCAAGTTTTATTTCTATTTTCAAGTTACCAAATCTATCCACCACTAGCTATGTTTTCTCTTTACCGTTTTAAAATAATCAATTCATAGTCGAAACATATTTGAAGCTAATTTTCTGCAATCGTGGATGAAACAGCCGAAGGTTCAGACAATAATTGTAAGTAAAACGGAATCGATTTCTCTTCCTGATGAATATATGTAGCATTAGTATTTTTGCACAAGTGAATATAACAAATCCTACAAGTTGATTTGTTAATTATATTATATTATCATATACTATAGGATGTGGTCAAAAAAATTTGCTTAGGGCAGTACACTTCGAATAGAAATTCAATATTTCAGCAAGGGCAAAGTTTGCAAGTGGTTGGAGATTTTTATGGTTCGTTTGAGAATGAAGGCGTAAGTACTGTATATTCATTTGGTAATACGAAACTGAAATAGCCCTTTAAAAAGGGGGGGGGGGGGTTCTGGAAAGTTTTAAGCTCGTATAACCAAACTGATTCCTCCTTACCCTGTGGTGCCATGAACATTTTCTTACAGTACTTTTATTCAACTTAGGATAGTATGTATTTTAACAAGTCTGAACTTAAAACAGCATTGTCTTAAGCTTAAATCTCTGTCTTTCATTGCCAAACATTCTTGGATGACTATATGAAGAATGTATATGTGTGTAGTGTACCATGCATATATCTTTTTTCTTATTAGGTAGAAGAGTTGGCAATACATTTGTTGAACTATATTCAAAAGGACAGGGAACTAACTCTGATGTATAAGAATGAGTCCTACATGTTAGAAAGGGATGGTTTATAATGTATTGATACCAGAGGTACATTGCTCCTGTTGCTCACAATCTATACTTTTACCCCACTTCACTCTTTATAGAATCAACACCGTTGTGGTTTTATTTCCATTTTCCCATCTGACTGTAAATGCACATTTATTTTAGGTTTTAATCTTGATTATCCAAAAACAACTGAAAGTGAGTCGCTTTGTGGCTGAATGGTTTTTTGAACATTCAATTATAATAAATCCGCTCTCAAATATATAGGTTAGTACGACTTTGTGTGCTTTCGAAATCTAGAACTTAGTCTACCTCGAGAGGTGCTCTCGGATCGATTTACAATGTACAAGCAAGCTAATTTCTCGCTTAGCAGCCTGGTGCACGCGGACGTCAGATTACCGAGGGGGAACTGGATTAAAAACTATGTTTGTATAATTTTATCATGGTTATATTCAACACATAAGACAAAACCTACAAAAACGTCGCTTGCTAAAGCTATAGCGGTACTTAATTAACTCGGTCAATTCACTAGCTATACTATTAACGGTACTGAACTCGGTTAATTCATTAAGTGTTTGTGCATGTGTGAACACTCCAGAAGTCCAAGAAACCAGCCTTGGATCCGTTCGAACTGTTCTAATTTAAATCGATCTCAAAGTATGCTATGAACACGTGCACGTGAACGGCCGCTAAGTCGTTGTATATGCGTAAAAATGTTCCCTATATACATTGAATTAAATTATAGATACGTGGTAGATCGATCTCTAATCAGTATCATCTCGTTTTTGATTGTCCACACTTGGATCGATCTATAAATCCCTGGTGTGAACGGTCTCTTATACAAACTATAACGTACGTGCAGTACACCTCATACATGTACGTCACATGCAGGCGACACTGAATCACATGCAGATAATCTACATGTATAACCTCTTGTGGTATTTTCGCAGTATTCTAAAGACGAAATTCTCAGAAAGAGAGCTATACTATTACAGCTCGAACAGGAAAAGTTTTGCGTATTTTTGATGTTTTTAAACTAAGCCAAAACCAATTAGCAGCGGGTTATTTAGACCTATAGTTATGTCATAAGTTCATAACCGGAAAATGTTTAGTCATGCAAAATAACCCGCTGGTGATTGGTTTTGGTTAGTTTGAAAACATCAAAAATATGCAATGGCGGCCTCGGTTTGCCGGTTCGAACTGTAAAATAAATTTGTTTACACTTATAACGAGGTTGTAACAAGGTTTGTTAATTATGAAGCATGAAGCCTATATATTCAGTAAGGAAATATGCATTGAATTTGAGGCAAAATTGCCGTATAATGCCTTTAAAATTATATCTGCGCAATAATCTGTATTTCTAAAAATATTTTCATGCTTCTATATTTCAGGTTTTCGTACGTCAGTCCGTGTGCATTGGTTCCTATATCACCATATATCGCTTTTCTATAAGTATTATCCATATGTATATACACGCAGTATAATATAATGTTTGAACACACTTGCTATATGCACAGGACTTTATTCGTGTGTTGCATTTGAAAGACAATTAATAATATTATAAATAAATACTTATAAGATACCATTGTTGTAATGTTTATTGTGTGTTAGATAATATAATTATTCTGTAGTATTTTTATTGTTTTTTGTATATCGGGAGTGCCTTCGTGCAATAGACCCCACGTCCGTTAATTAAAAAAAGTCCAAAATGTCGCGGGTATAGATCACCAAATTTCTTCATCTGGTATCATATGCAGTATGAAAAATGGGAGGACGAGGAAAATATATTCCTTCCAATTTCGTTGCAAATATTCATATCCCATATTCATACCCTAACTATCACATTCATACAACAAATCTTCATATTCAAACTTGTTTGGAACTCAATATTCATGCATTATTTGTATTCAATCTTGCATATTCCGCTTCCCGGATAGCGCTATCCTTACTCATAGTATTGTGCAAGCCTTCTAAAGTTGCATGGTCATTGATTAGTAAAATCCATGCAGATTGAAGTTATCTCCGTATTTTCACAGCAATTAATGTTTCTGTAGAAAATCCAAAAAGTATCCTTCCTCTATTGGAGTTCAATGGTTTGCCACATCGGTACGCTGGTTCGATTCCAGCGGTACTCTGGAAGGTTTCACGTTTTTGCATGCAAACTTTGACCACAAAAGTGTAAACTACACGAAAAAATTGGAAAAATGACGATATATTATTTAAGATACTGTATGTACATGTCAGAGGTGGAAATAAAGGAATACCGAATGGTTTTCCGTGCAATTATATAAATGTTTTTTCTTTCTGGGCTTAGGGCTCGAAATATTCTGCAAAAGATTAAAATATAGTATAGGGAACTGTCTTTTTTACCTTACACATGGATTATGTTGTTTAAGATTTGTTTTCGTGTCGAAACAATATGTCTTTAAGACTGATAAAGCATGCACGCGTACAGTCTTACAGGATTAAAAACAAATTTCCTACTGCAGGTTATATGAATATTTCTTTTCCGAACTGTTCCGGTGCCTGCAGATGATGGTCAAATTCAGAAATCAACTTAACATCATTTTGTCACTTTGATGTATAATTTCTGGTTGACCACCTACTGCAGGTAGTTCTTAGGGAGCTGGAAGGGGGGGGGGACAAAATTGCCGACTGGAGGGGCCACTAAAATGGCTGGGGGGACATGTCTCCTCCCAGTCCGATGTTAAAAGAGACCCGTAACTAGCTATGTGTCAACCGAGTCAGTTGAGTCGGCAGGAATTTGGGGGCTGAAATTCAAACATCGCCAGAAACCAACACCATGCAGGCTGAAATAATTTGCTCGTGGAAAAAGGCATGAAATGGCATTTTAGGACGAATTTCTAGTTTACTTTTTCCAAGCAAATATACTCCAAAGGGACCACCCTATCTTGCTCTTCAGTGACACTGAGAAGACGAATGCGTCGATATCAAGTAGCCCAATACATGTAATACACGTAATACACGTAATACAGTACTGTAGAATTTGAACGGTGATGATTGCCGATATTACTAATGCGACGCACATTTTCATTACCGCATCATCACATCATGTTGCCTTATCGGGACTGGGTTACATTTGGGAGACTGTAAAATTTCAGTAATTGTGTCATTGTTTATAAGGTTAATTTCTTGTTGGAACACTCCTCAAAATGCTGGGGTGTATGCCAGACCCCTCTGTAGACAGACCCTCTGTAGACGGCTCGCACCTTCGGTGCTCGACTGGGTTGTCTCAGAATCCTAGATACGGGCCTGATCTCTTGCCCTATGACGTATACCTATTAGTTAAACCATGCATATGCTAGTTTCTCCAGATCCCCCGCGAAATATGTCCCGCCCAGTTACACATCCTTAAAAGAGGCCCTGGTTCCGGTTATAATTAAGGTATATCTAGTCCGGTAGATGAATTTGGTATTCAGTCATTTCGATAATCAGGTGTATTCAGTGTTTTACAAAATATTTAATCAGTGTAATTTTCTGAAAATTTCTGCAAAAATTTGGATTAAAATTTCTGGGTCCCAGGTTGAAGACCTGCAATATCACATAACCCCTTGCAGAGCGCGCTAGCTGACACACATACGCTCATGCACCTTAATTCTATGCAATATATATACTGCATGCATGACGTCGTTGTACATTCGACTACAAAATTGACTACAAAATTGCATTTTAACGACCAATTAAGTATGCGATAAACACACGTGTATTTATTGTTACAATTATATAAGAGTATCTATTATTATTTCTAGTATTTATTATTTATTATTATTAATGTACGTCGTTTTTCAAGGTACAGTATATAGTGACTGACCGCTGCATGAACAAATTGACCTACACAGCTAGGATCAGTATAATGGCTCGGGCCGAGTCATTTTTATGACTGCCAAGAAGCGAGATACTTAGCCATATTTAATGTACTTATATGCTCTGTCATTAAATGGAAATAAAACGATCAACGATATCTACAATTAAAGCTCGGCACGAGAGACTATACGAATTACCTTGCGTCTCTTTTAATCTTGAGCACCTCGTGCATATATATTTAGAGCATAACTAGGTGACGTTGCTGTAACAGACATACAGCTTACAGAATGGTTAATGTGCAACCACACAGGGATTTTTCCTAAGTGAACTTAGACATTCACCTAATTCTACTGGTGAACGGGACATTTTTTGGGGGACACCCTGTATACAGTATACTGACCCCATGGGTGCGTAAACACAATTGAATCGGATTGCATGCATGAGAAGTTGCAGTAAACGTTTTTGATATCGTTCTACATATGAATATGATTATGTACGGGACTAATTTCTAAGTCGTCTAGATCTTAACTTTCAACGTCGTAGATCTTTCTTAACTTTCAATGTCAACGTCGATTACATTCACACGGAAATTGTCAACCATGATATATAAAATTGTCTCCAAACAACCATGGTTCAGAAACCACACTTTGGTTAAGCTCCCCAAGCATGATGCAAGATTGAATATTAAATTCAAATAAAATTAACAACAGTAATTTTTAATGCATTTTCATAAGCGAACGATTTCAACCATGATAAAATGGTCGCAAAACAACCATGGTTGTATTAAAATTACAAGCTTATTCTACTGCAAGACTTTCTTGTTATTTTAATCAATTTTTAAATAAACGCGAAACATGCAAATGCATTCAACAACTATATATATACCTTTGCGTGTTTTCTTATATGTGCAGACACAACTCACCGAAGAAAGGCCAATTACGTCGATAAAATATATTAACATTTACACTGAATTGTCAATCGTGATAAAATTTTCTCCAAAGAACCATCGTTCAAAATTACACTTTGTTAAGCTACCCAAGCATGATGCAAGATTGAATATTAAATTTAAATATATAATTAACAACAGTAATTTTTAATGCATTTTCATAAGCAAACGTTTTCAACCATGATAAAATGGTCGCAAAACAACCATGGTTGTATTAAAATTACATGTATAATTTATTCTACTGCAAGACTTTATTATTAATTTAATTCTAATCAATTTTTAAATAAACGCGAAACGTGCACATTCAACAACTACATATACTATATCATGTTTTCTTATATGTGCGGACACAACTCACAGAAGAAAGGCCAATTATATATCGATTAACATTTACACTGAAATTGTTCAACCATGATAAAATTGTCTCCGAACAACCATGGTTCGACAAAATGATGAAAAAATATGTCATCAATTATATGAAATATCAAAATAACAACATGCATATGATGTACATACACAGATATTTAACACCAGTACTTCTAATGCGTTTGCACCTCCTCCCAAAAAAACTAGTTTCCTCTGGAGTTCCAAGGAAGCATACTTGGTCCGACCCTTCTCCTCCTTTATGTATGTCAATAATCTGCCTGACGTATTGCCTGACGTTGTTAAGAATTCTACAGCAACATGCTGACGATACTGAGATCTTCCGTTGCGTCGATTCCATTTTCGATGTCGCAGTACTGCGAGTGATCTGTATATATAATCTATTTAATTAACTTGTCTTCCACAAGCGGTATCAAATTTAACGACCTCAAGTGCAAATGTCTGCGTGTATAACTAGAAAAATTCAGCCTATCGCATATCTGCCCATAGATGATCAAAGGCAAGGAACTCACAACATCAATCGAGAAGGGCCTGGGCGTCTGGATTGCGAGTGATCTGACTTGGAATAGGCATGTTCTCGATTGTTGTGCAAAAGCAAACAAGCAACTTGGTTTCATTAGGCGATGTGGAGGACTGTGAGTAAGCACTAGGGCACGCCGCACACTCTACCTGTCTATCGTTCGCCCTGTTCTTGGTTATGGTCTCCGCAGACGATAAACTTGATACGACGAGCGGAACAAATCCGAAGAAAAGCTACCAAGTTTTTTGTTGAAACTTCCATACCTATACAATGAGGCTTACCGTGAAAGGCTTATCAAGTCAATTTTAATGTCAATATCGTATTGGCATGAATACATGGACCTTGTGTTCTTTTTTAAAGCTCCCAACAACCTTCTAAATATTCCAGATTATCTTCCTCAACGTTCCTACGAGAGTAACGAGAATAGGAGATCATCCAGTTCTAAAGGCATAACGTTTCGTTCACGGAAATGCAGGACTTCCACGTATGAGCCCCACCAAGGGTGTAACCCAGGTCGCTTGTCACTCATTTTGTAGCAGGCTTTGTCGCTTGTTTTATTGTAACAAATGTCGCTGTCATTTTTGACCCATAACACAAAGGAGTTTTCGTTTGTCGCTCTTTTTTAGATAGGTGTGCGGACACAACAGCAGTTATATGAAATGTGATGATCGTGTGGACACAACAGCAGTTCTATGTAAATCAATTACTGTGGGTCGTGGTTAACAAATATAACAAACTATAAAATTGAAATCTATGAACAGTAAGGGCCATGATGCACATGCAATTCAACCTCCGCTGCAAACCGCAGATAAAAATCTTAAAGGATGGAAAGTGAAAGAAATTATAAGAATGTCGTGCCGTTTATATAAGCACTAGAACCTTTAAACACAGGGACCCTGACTAACATAAAATATTGGCAATTTATTACTTGTTTATTAATTTGGAAATATTTCTTCAGACATCTTATTTTGATCAACAGACGTTTTCTCTTCCGTAGTTTCGAAATGAACGGACGTGAAGAAATCGAAAACTAAATCAGCGGGTTAATTTTTAACCGAAGGTTTTCGCTTATCTAGTCATCTGTAGCTTTGAATAATCAGTCCCTGCATGGTTATAACCATTCTCTTTGCGGAGATAATCCCATTCTCAGACCAATATTATGCTCTATAAGCCCATGGCCATTCCTTATCGTGTACTGCGCGTTGCTGTCATACAGTAAACTCTTTTTCGAATGCTTTTTTGATTATTTTCTCCACGCAATAGTCACTCAATGGCAGTGGCCCATGCATGACTGCATCGGCGATATGTAAAAACTAGTATTCAATAACATGGCAACAGCAACCTGTACAGAGAGTACAACTATATCTGAAAAATATAAGCAGAATTTCAACATTTCGAGTAGCTTCGAGCAAAGGCATTTCATTGGGAAGTTAGTAGCGACCATCCAAAACCACAAGACAAAGTTTTACTTGTATTTATCAGGTAGTTGTAAATTTGCTATGATTGCTTGTACTCATTTATACATACGTTGACACTGACCGTTCGAGCTTATAAGAACATATATCAAGAGTCCCGCTGGAATCGAACCAGCGTACTTAAGGGGTGGACAATTAGATATTCTGAGGGGGAGGGGGGGGGGGCATATCCAAAAAAATAATCATGCAAGTTGTTGAAGTAGAAAAACAATTCCTGCAGGCACTTGGGGAAAGAAAAAAAATATTGTGCAACTTCATGAGAAATCCAGCTAGATTTGAGATATTTATAACAGTTTACAGTACTTGTGATACAGTGTACATGTACATGCTGTAAAAGATTTAATAACATCAATAACATTATAGATTGAAAATGAGTTTATATATAGAGCATATATTATGTGTACACTATAATTAATATTAAAAAAAAACTAATCCTGTAATAGTCGTAATATGGGTGTACAAGAAGCTTTTTTCTAAATGAAATTGAATGAAAAAAATAATACATTCACTGTTCTGTAGCCTGCGTCACAGATTACACAGACTATTTTGTTAGTCTAACTGTTCTGGAATTCACTAATTTCCACACAAGAAAGAATCTTCAAGTATTTCTTGTATTTTTGCTGACACCTACTATGAAACTGATACCTTATATGATACGTATTTTTTTGTAATATATTACACTTTTCAATATGGAAATTTCGTGCCAATATATTTGCTTGGCTATTTTTTCTCTATCGCTTTATCTCTACCGGTAGACAGAGAATAAAGGTAGGTAAAGGTTTTAAAAAAAATTCCTGCACAGCTTCTTCTCAAAAAAAATTCCGACAAAGCTTCGAACTCAAAAAAAATTCTTGCAGGGAGAATTTACCCTCCTCCCTCCCAGGATATCCAATGGTCCACCCCAAAATAGAAAACCACTGAACTCTGTATATTGAATCAAGGACTGTTCATACTACTCGTTTCTTTCGCATCTTACTGTGGATTCAAGTTTTGCGGCAAATAGTAGTACGCTTTCCTTGAAGTTAATTTAATTAAATCTTTGTACAGGAATTTTGCATATGTGGATACAACACTTCATTAATTAAGCGTTGATTTCTTCTTAATTTTCTTAATAAATTATTGAGGTTTATAAACATGCTTTGCAAGATTCACAAAAACGTGAAATGACATCAGTAGTATTAATGGCGTGACATTTAATCCTTGCGTTTTACATTTCCTATTTACGCCAAAGATTTCCGTAGTGTCTCAACCAACTTTTGATTGTGGAAATAAAGGAACAGCTTGGTGTGACGCATAAAATTATTTTCGTTCATATACGACAGGGATGCCTTGATTCGTTTTAGGGAAGAATTTCTTTGTTCTGCACCTTGACTGTTAAGGAAAGGGAAGTCCAAATCCGGGTAGGACGCGAGATCATAAGCTGGAGAACAACCTAAAAAATACCAGTTTAAATAAACTGAAACGTAACAATTCATGCATACTGTAGTGTGCTAACTGGATAATACTTTTCTAATGTTTCAACGTTCTTGTTATAAAATTGCTGAATTTTTGGTAATTGTGCACACCTGTGTGGTCACGCCAGTGCAATCTGTCCACAAGAAATCGTGTCTTCTGAAAAAAACTTGGGTCACGGTTGAGACAATAGGAATGAAGGTTACAAGCATTGTCGTAAACAACGATTGCCGGTGCTAATTCAAAGAAATTAGATGTATATGAATTTTTAATGTACTTTAACTTGCAGAATTCAGCTTAGCTAAACATTACTTGCACTGAATACTCGTTGAAACAGTGATCATTAAGGTGCACAGTATATGGGTCTGCACTTCGCAAGCTAGAACTACTGCACAGTACCTTGGTTAAATCTGGATCGCAATATTGTAAATGGTATATTTGGTGACTCGCAGGACGTCATCACGGAGAAACCATATGTTATGCCTGAAATAGTACGCGAGAATAAAATCAGTACAGCAAGTTTCCTTAAAACCCTGAACAATACATAGTACAAATGCTGACTCGTTCCCAGTCGCTCGCGTTGGATGATGGGAATGGGTTAGGTTTGTCAACGCCCAACCTGAGAACGGATATATTCTCCCGTATTAACCCAAATATAGCGAGGGAGAGTGGAAGAGTCAGGTACAAATGGAAATAAATTTGAAGGGAACTCCTAAAGACTACATAATTCACTGAAGGATTTAAACGATCGGTAGCGCTTATACATCTCAGAATGGCTACTGCACGCTTATTCTATTTTTTACCATGTCTACATTGAATAAGAAATATGCCAGGAAGAAGAGTTGGATGCCGACCATGTCGTTTAGTGCAAATGAAACTATTTTTATCTTTCTTTTCGTGATCCAGGGTGTAGTTACCACGGCCTCGAATAACTGGATGATGTGGGTAAAATGATAATTGGGAATAAATGTTATCATGAGGTGTTAAGCTATCGTTAACGAAGGGCTGGTTCTGAAACGGTAGAGAGGCTATTCTGAGTAGTTTATTAATGATAGGGATGACATCTTCAGGTAAACTATCGCCATTGACGGCGCAAAGAAACTTAAACAGTAAAGGACAGTTGTTATGCAGAATCTGCAACTCATTCGGGTATCTTTTTATTGGGAATCCTTCGATTATTCATTTGCACAATTGAAGCAACTCGTTACTGTTGTGGAAAATTGCACAAGCGGGTGAATTCTTCGAAATCGCTTTAACAAATTCACGAACTTCAAGTGGCCATTCTTCTCCAATTCCATATGTTACTGAACACCAAGCAATTAAAATCTTCAGTTCAGTATATCGCTCTCCAAGCGCTTCGATCAAGGAATAGACTAGGTCCAGCGATTCTTGGGTAGGATTATTCGCCACTCTTTGGACAGCCTCTCGTAGACCCTTGTCTAGTATGTATACTCGCTCACTGTGACTAGTAATGAGAAAAAAGAGAGACATAAGAGAGATCCATCAGTTAATTAACATACGGTCGTGGTAATCGATTTTTGTACAACTGAAAAGCTCTGTGAAAACGTTTCTTGTGATGAAAGATCTTGCCCAAAGGGCCAAAACGTAGAGACAAATGGCAAGATTTTTTTATCATGATGAATTGTATGTCATTCACCTACTTCGTTTTCCATCACATCCTATATATCGGCAAATTTATGCCACAAGAAATGTACCTGTAGTCACTCGCAAGTAAGTATTTATACTTATCTCCCGCTTCTTTTATTAAGGGAATGCGTTTTGTTATATTCTCGAGTGATACTTGTGAGGAATGCTTGTCTAAACGCCAGGGAGGTGCCGTCGCAAACAAGGACATCAAGAGAATCGGTTCCACAAATTGGACAGCAAAAACCCGCGTCGTAGTCAATATCCAACAGTTGCAAAAACGAATACCAACTTGCTTGCCATTGCTTCAATGAAATAATCTCCCTCAATTCAGCCTTCCCACCGTCATTCATCACTTCAGACCAAACATTATAATACGTATACATCGTGCATCTAAGAATAGGGATTGAGTACATATCGTATTCGTTACTTAGCTTGTACAGTATTTTAATTCGCGCACTAACAGAATTCGCGCTAGCTAGAGTGCCAGGCGCTGTTTTCCCTTCCTTCGATGAGGGTGGATGGAAGCGAAAATAGAGCCTGGCACTCAGGCTAAATTCGTGCAAGAAGACCGACGAAATCGCCAGTATGATTCAAGCTTTAAGGAAGAAAAAGACAAAATTTTAAATTTTATACCCTCTTACTGTATACGTTGAACATGTAATCTACTTTACTGGGTAGTTTAGCTGGGACGTTTTTAATTTGAAATATTAAAATACTCATACTGTATACGAAACATACCTTCCCATCAAGAAATGAAACATGAAATCGTGCAAAATGTCATAAGGAATGACAAATTTCCTCATATTCAAAAGAGCAACTTCACCGCCATCGTATTCCAGGCGTTCGTTACATAAGACGTTGGAACAAGGACGATAATAGACTAGAAAAAGGTAAATTTATAAACCGGTTACAGTTTAAAATTTGAAATTACAACTGTAGCAACACTGTACTATTCAGACGATGCACTGTTCTCCACGTAGTCAAAATAAACTACCGTAAAGACTTAAGCCTTGGGCTTATATTCTTTCGCAAGCGATTTTTGATGGGCTTATACAAGAGGGGGGGGGGCTTATATACGGGGGGCTTATATATACATGGACAACCTTTTCTGTTAGTAATAAACAAGTCAGTCATAAACAGGAAAAACTATATTAACCACAGTATACTGTACTCTTATTATTATTACGCTTTGATTAACATAGTAAGCTATAAAGACAATGACAATGTTTTTAAATATCGTTCTCTGCTATTAAAAAACAATGTTGTATTACGTAGTGGGCTACTGGGCTTACATTCGACTACTGGACTTTATATATTCGGGGAGGGCTTATATTCGGGGAGGGGGAGACTTATATTTGGAATGAGGTGACATGTGGTGGGCTTATACAAGGGGGGGGGGGTTATATTGGGGGAGGGGTTATATTCGGAGGTTTACGGTATAATATACATGCACAAGTCATAACTTATTACGTAACATACAGTAAAAATTTGACTAACCATATATTTATTACTTATTATTTAACGGTACTCTTCGGATAAAATTTAATTATAACTGGTTGCTAAAATTTTACAATATTGATGCACGAATATCAGTTTGCTTTAATTAGTGAGCATGTACTAATGACCAGTAGATCTGATACAGCTACAGCTATTATTGCGTTGTAACAACAACGAACATGCACACACAATAGCAAACAAAAATAAAGAATAATAATAAGCATACACTTACTGTACAGTACTGTAGGTGCACAGAACATAGCCCGCGTGCAGGCCCAAGGGAACTGATAGTGGGCCAGCAAGCAAGGCCCGGTATTTTGTACTTTCCGCGTTCGCCCACGAACGCGGCATTCTGATTGGCTGTTTGCTGTTGGATTCTATAATTAGGTCAGTGATTCATCACAAAGGCTCTCGATAAGCTCAAAATTCGAAAATTGATCACTTTTTTCGATTATAAATGGAACAAGAACAGACTGTTTATTGTTTACTTGAAGGAAGAGATGTTTTTGCCGTTATGCCAATGGGGATTGCTTGTCGTGAGGTGTTGGAATAGCAACATTACGACTGGGGTAAACTATAGTAACCTTTACTTGAGTTTCATTAATTTCAAACAGACTTGATACGTTATATGTTCCTCAAGAAAATTATCTTTTGGTTGATGTTGAGATGCAGTTGCATGTAAGCCTGTTCGAAACACTTTGCGATTTACAAGGCTTCGCTGAGAGAGCGAAACAGAAGACGGTATTATTAAAATTGCCGTTTGAAACGAAACGATCTGGACTCTGAACGCTCTCTTCTTTTGTAGAGTTCTTTACCAAATGAAATAACTGAAATAAATTTCGTACTTTCCGCCGCCAACAAGAATTGCACACACGATCTGATAAGTGAGGCAATTTATTTATAACAATGCCAATGGCGACAGCGAAGCACACATAATATAAATGCTAATGTGGTCGCACGACTTCCCTCACGATTTGAAGTTTGAGACTGGTTTTCTGTTGAAATTCGTCCTAATTTGCCTGTTCCGATTTTAGTTGAAAATGAGCACTTGCAAATTTGGGTGCTGTCATTGGTTCTTTTTTGACAATTGACGCGCGAATGGGGCGTGTTATGAAAAGGGGCGTTTTACAAAATACCGGGCCTTGCTTGCAGGCCCACTATCAGTTCCCTTCATGGGCCTGCACGCAGGCTACACAGAACAAAAAAAGGTTATGACTGAAAAAATCACATTGGATACTTACCAAAACATTTGAGATGAAACCTTCTTAGGATAATGTTGCAAGTTTCAGATAACCAGTCATGCAAAGTTGGTGATTCTGGTCGCCACGGTGAACCACAGGATGGACAGACAGCAAGTTTAGTGCTGGCTTCAGGTATACTCGGTGTTAAACGTGCACCTTCCTGGTTCATTTCAATCTGGCATTCAGAGGTTTCAAACATTATCTGTTTAAGTCGCTCAGGTAAAATAAATGGTATTGGCATATAGGACTTGGCATGCAAAACCCATGAAGCTTTTGCACCAACGCCCACACGATCATATCTGTACTCCATAAACGATAGAACAAAATCAGGAGTTTCGCCGTCATCTTCTAAAATTTTATTCACCTCCTTCACGTGATCACATGAACCAGACAATAATCCAGAACACACACTGCATTTCAACTCATCACGCTCCCAACTAACAACTCCAAAACTGGCCTCAAGGAGGACACATAAAAGATAAGGAGATCCAGCTACAGAATGTACTGTTGATAGTTCCTAAAAATTGAAAAACATAATTCCATATATATCAGTTTCCATGCAGGAGCTTAAAATATGTATACAGTACGTGTAGGGGTGCACCTGAAGGTCAATTTTACTACCCCGCCGGATACCGTAATATATACTGTATATATCAATACAATAAAATGTACAAAATGATAAAAGGTTAAAAACCGGAAAAGCGGAAAGGGAAACTTCAACTGTATTTCACCGAATCAAAAAGGCATATGTACAGAGTACTGTATAGAGGACTGGGACTGATGAAACGTTTTCGTTTTTCGGTATTTTTCTGGCAAATATTTTGGTAAGGAGGTACGAACTACAGGTAATATACAAACTTAACATTGTCTTGCTCATAATATACAGTAGATACCTATGAATTATCTTGCCAATGTTAATTGTGGCATGTGTAAAGTATAAATTGGACTGCAGTAATCTTCGGTGAGGGAATATAATATATTATAAAACATATTGTCCAATTGCCGTCACTATATTGCTTTGTTTTTCGTGAGATTTACACCAATAAAACAACTCACCAATATTTAAACAGTAAATAAATATGATGGATGTTTTGTTGTACTTATAATGATATAATATTGATACAGTAATCTTTTCATAATTTCATAAACGTGTGAAGAAGAGTCAGGAAATTTGTTATCCCAGCCAAAACATAAATGGGCTGACCGTCCTAATGCTTTCATTCCATGTAATTTAATGCCCAAACTTCGAAGATCTGGTTTTCCCACTAATTCCAAGCCCAAGGCCTGGAGTAGCATCATCTAAAATATTACACAGTATATTTCATCTATTCTACTAAATTGTGAAAATCACAAGCTTACTGTACATCTCAAGAATTAATACGGTAAATAGTAATTTCTTACTAAAACTGTTTGTGGCCAAGCTCTCACATTAATTTCAACGCAGATTGTATCATAGATGTTTATTTGTTTTTAAGTATCTAAATAATCACACCTCACATGGATTTGAACTTCTAGCGAACAGAGAAATACACAACTACGATACGCGATATAAGGACAATTTAAGGCCACCTAAAGTGTCAAGGAAATGGGGGAAAGCAAATACTCGCTTATCAGGCCATAACAGACTGCAACAACTTGAACAGAAAGATAAAACTATCTACTAGTATTTATACATTTAAGAGAAACTTTTTTTAGCAATCTTTGAACTTTTCCTCATATAATTTTTTAATATTTTTCATAGTTATGTAGTATATGCATGTCTTCCTTGTAAAATAGTTTATTTAGTTCAGGACCTTTCTGAAAATCACTTCGTGAGAGAGCTTCCTGAAATTAAGTTAACATGCAACACTTTCTTTACCTGATCATTACTGTGTTGAACAATATCACTAACAGTAAACTGAGTAGCATCTATGTCATTTTGGCTGTCGAACCCACACATTATCTTCTTTAATGCTTGGACATGAATACATGTTTCATATTTATCAACAAAATCTAAAATACAAATAAAAATATTTGACAATGAATTCAGCTTACTAAACACATACAGTACATGTTACAACATACATGTATGTTGGTCAGGTACAAAGATTTTGTATATAACATGGGGCAAAACATGCAATGAGTGTTTCTGTAATCAAGCATTCAAGCCTGAATGTTATGACAAGGCCAGGAAGATACATAAACTGTATCAATATTTTTTTTCAATATTGCAACAGCCTACTGTATACAGTATATGAAGTGTATATTGGTCTATGAGGCATATGATGTCTTACAGTATCTTTGAATATTTTCTGCAAAGCACTAAACAGGTTCACATAACTTCGATCCAAGCCTGGAAATAATTTTTGGGGACCTGCCTGTCAAAATGACCAGCACCAATGAATTTGTGCCTGTCATGAAATAAAACGTATTGGTCATTGTACCGGACTGCCAAAAACATAGGATACTGTACAAAATATGCAATGGTTAAAATAAAAAAATACATAGAGATTACTACATGGTTGGTGAGCTGTGTACGATTTTTAATTTTTTATGCACGAGTCGTGAAAGATTGCAAACGAACGAGTGAGTGAAGCGAACTAGTGAGTTCAGCAATCTTTCACAACAAGTGCATAATGAAAATTGTACAAAGTAACGAACCATTACCAACCATCCAACCAAGGCAGTTATTTTCTTCGACACTTTAATTTTTTTCGCGGTTCATCACAAGGCGAATAAGAAGGAATTTTTATCATAGTGGAAACACTGCACAAACATGGCATCACGTTTATAAAGCGGTTAGCACTATTTTCCATCCAGCAAACTGACCTGACGTAATTTTCGGAAGATGGAAGAGGTGTTAAATGGCAGGGATATTTTCAAGCACTTTTCTACTACTGGTATATGGTAGTAAATACTCAATCTTCAATTGACTTTTGAAACTCAATCTTCCTCCACAATGATTTTTTTCACAATTTGATTTTTTTAATGCAAATGTTCCCTTAAAACCCCATTTTTCTATATAATTTTGTTCAAAAAGCTGTCCAAAACTGTTTCACTTCTGAGACACAAAATCTCGTAGAGGAATACTCATGCCCATGCACACTAGAAATGTGTAGCACAAACAACGTCGCACATTCCGGAGTGTGACACCCCCATAATTTTGAGAAATAGTAAAATAGTCTGTCCCAAATGAACCATTTGTCGGTCCCGATCGTCCTGTGCAAACATTACGCAAAATTATTGTTTCCATGAGATATATTTTTTGGACAGTGTCCAAAAAATAATAAGTAAGGTTACAGAATTGCTAATTGCCATTATACACTGCCTGAATCAACTTCCTTTCTGTGCTCTACAACCATGCAGCTGATGGCCACATTGAAATCTGAAAATACCATTTCCGACGATCTACAGACTTCGATCAACTGCAATTATAAGTACTGTACTGTATGATAACAAGGTTGCAAACTCTAATTGAAAGAAACAAAATATTAACTCAAGTATGAACCCATTTTGTCTGGACATTGTCATCTGGGAACAGCAGTTAGTTGCCTGTAATGATACTAAATGATACTTTTTTTTACACTAATAAACAAACAATCTGACAATACGAGCACAACAAAAATGTACAGTTAATAGAATGTCAGATTCAGGATGCATTTGTGGTACAGTGCACATTTTAGTGTACACTGTACATTTACATACCATCATAAGGCATTTCAACAATGAATGCCACTCCAGACTTCAATAACTCTCCAATTCTTCTGCTACATGAGCATGCATAACTCCATTTAATATCTCCACAAGGAAATTTGTGTGGTCGCCTTGTTATTAACACAAATGTTTTTGCCTATAAAAAGTACAGGTAGCAGGATTGTTTTGAATAAATTTTGGTAACAAGTCATTACACAAAAACATATAAATACAATGTTTATGGTGTTACTCTAAGTGTGCATCCACACCGGGCAAGCTGACAAATTTGCCTGACCATGGTGGTGAATCGTCCAATGCTCTAGGTTTGCATGTTTGATTCCCACCATGATCAGGCTAACTTTTCAGCTTGCCCGATGTGGATGCACAGTCACAGTAACACCACAGACATCATATTCACCTGAGTACATAACACCAACACACAAAAAGTATTATATAAATACAACTTAAAAATATTACAGTACAGAATACAGACAGTTAATACATTAATGTGCAAGACTTAGCCATGACAAGTAAAATCGCCTGGAGTTAGACAAAGTAAAGTAATATAATCAGGCGCATCTGGAAGCATTACAACTTAATGGCGTATATGACACAAAGTTATGACACAAAGTATTAGTTACTATCAAAAACTTTCTTTATATTAAATATTTTCTGAGGATACAAGTACAGTATGTGGCCCAGTTTCAGGTCAGTACCAGTAGCGGGTCAATAGAAATTTGATTTCATTTTTTTCCGCCGAGATAAAAAGCGACGCGAAATGAAATATACAGATATAATGGCGAACCTTTCCTTTTTTGGATGATAGTTTTCGCAGGCTTTTTAGTTGAACTGTATTCAAAGAAGAATCCCTTTTGTCCGGGTATGTTTATATTCTTTTACTAAAATTTGTTCATTTCACTGCGCAGTAAAACTAACTAATAACAATAAATCGTATTATTGATATGTAATTCTCCATGTAACTGCCCAATTTTGTCCTAACGATAGATTATTGCCCGAGAATATATAAATATGAAATGGAAAGTTTAAGCATTCAATTATTCAGAGATATATTCTGGTCCCACAAATTACGTAAAGTTCAGCTTTGTGGCCCAGTTTCGGGTCAGCTATGTTTCAACCTTTGAAAGTGGAAGCACTGCTTAGAACGCACTCCGCAAAAACTGTGTAGAAGAGGTAGTTTCAAGCTGGAAATATCATGTCTAAACCTTGTCAAAACCTCACAAAAAAGTTGTTAATAACTTAAGACATGTTGAAACTATAAAAAATTATCGAAAATTGCCGTAAAACAAACGCTTTTATACAATAAACAAAGAAACTTGAAGCGACCCGATACTGGTGCAGTTGACCCGATACTGGGCACCTAAAATGATTCTTAAAAATATAAATAATTCTAAAAGTGAAAGGTAAGAAAAGTCAATCTTTTGAAATATTGTTAAGAAACACCTTTCCTATTCTCAAGTGAGCATTTAAAAATCGTACCTTTCCTGAAAAGGAAGATATAGCAGTTCAAACCTGAAATGACCCGAAACTGGGCCACATACTGTACTAGAGATTGGCAATAAAAATATAGTAATAATGTGTTGTAGATTACCAGTAATATATTTTCGTTCAAAGAATAATCATGAAGAAGAAAACAAATAATGTTTAATGTTGTTATGCCATTATGTCCAACCAGTTCCACACAATAAGAATCAACTTCATCAACAGTTGATGATCCAGCCACAATACCCTCTGTTCCATGATGTGAGTCAATTTCATTCATTTCCTTAAAACACAGATCAATAAAAAGATTGGTTTATACATAATTATTGACAATAATTATACATATATTTAAATAAGAAATAAGATTTAACCATGACAATGTCTATATATAATATAAGGTAATATTAGGTTTTTCAGGTTAATTTAACAAGTTATGAAGATTTATCAGTTTTCATTTTTTTAGACAAAATTTTGTCCAGTGTGAATTGAACTATTACACGGCAAAAAACGCTGAGCCCGTTGCTCAACAGGACTGAACAATGTTTTGCTGCCCACGTTGTTCACACTTGTCAACAATATTGAACAATGTTGTTGAGCCTGAATTGGGTGTAACAATATTGTTCAATATTGTTGACAGCTATGAACAATGTGGGCAGCAAAACATTGTTCAATCCTGTTTTCATCAGTATTGCATCAACCTGAGCGTTTTTTGCCGTGTAGTATTAACCCATTAAGTGTCAGCACTCTCCCCTTGACAAAATAATACAATGCGACTCAATGTGTTAACTAGACACATGGGCAGATAGGCCAGTTAACCCATTAAGCTTCAGCACTCTCCCCTTGACAAATAAAATCGGCTGGCGTTAGACTACCACCGGTATCGTCGCCGGTACGTCGCAGGCATATATGTGAAGCAGGCTTAAAAGTCACTTCAAAAATATTGGTTTGCAAAAAATTATATTGGGTTGCAAAAATATTGTGTCCACACACAATGCAAAATTCTGATTGGTTGATACAGTTGATTGACTTTTTTGAAAAAGTTAATTAATTTAAATGTATTGTTTTTCAAATTTAAAAGTCAACCGTCAAATTATGTTATATCAATTAAATCGCAGCATTTTTATTCATACTGTCTGGAAGTGTTTAGTATGTTATTTCGAACAAATGCAATTTAGGCCCCGTTTTATACACTTTACCGGATTACTTTTCATACTGGAGTAATTTTCACTCTGAAGTAAAAAACAAGGGTGTTTACACTATGCATGCCGCTTCGTTCTGTTTAAATTTATTAAAAACATGAAGTAACACATGTTTTCTTTGTAAAGAATAACTTTGTTTAATTAATTTAAAAGCTTGACTAGTAGATGTTGCTTCGTTTCGTTACCGGATTGACCTGTTTACACTGCTCCGGCACATAAGTGATCACATGTATTCGAACTGATCTGACCGCGTAGTTCAGATGGCAGAGCATTGGGCTAGTATTTCAAAGGTTGTAGGTTCCATTCCCACCGTGGCCAGGCATATTTTCCAAGCTTGCCCGGTGTGGATATACACTCAGAGTAACATCACAAACATCATATTCACCAACACAGCAAAAAAAAGTTAAAATTTTGATAGAAAGAGACATAACCATCAATATAGTGACGATAGTTACAGCTAAATAATGTACTTTCTTACCTGTTCTGTAAACAAGTTTAATATATTAAAATTATCAGTTTCTGCATCACTATAATTCTCAGCTTGAATTGAGCTTGTAGTCGATGTATTTAGAACATCAGATTCTCGTAGTAAACGATTAACGTTCTGTTGCATTCCAGTTCGTTTTCTTTTCCTTTTCTGAAAAGTATGACGTTTCAGCTCTCCTTCTTTACGCCACTGAATGACTCTTTTTTCCGCCATTTTGACTTATGATTAATAATTTATTAGCTTGATTTCGAGTGATTTATTCCACCATTTTGGAGACTGGGTACTAAATAACAACCACGCACATGCGCACTCCATGGTTGTTTTAGATGGTTGAAAACAACATTTGAGTAACGGATATACCTCCTCAGCCGGGTCTTCTAACTTACAAACATTGCACACCTCGGAGTCATTTCCATTCGGTAAATCTATCAGTTTCTTTGATGCTTCCTTTCTTGCTCTACGTGTTTCGGCTGCTTTCTCTGCACCTTTCTTTCTATTTTCTGCAATTGTGTTCAAATGACTGAGCCACATAGTTACTTCTTCAGGAGAGAGCAAAGTTTGTTTAGCAAGATCTTGTACACAATTATCATCAAGTATCTCGTGCATGGAAATGGCTTCTTTTCGATGTTTGTCATATTCTGCTAAAATAACTTCTGATGGCAGGCAACATTTCACATCACTTACTTCGGAAGTATACTTCCAAAGTTCATCTAACTTTAGGTAATGGCCGTAGCAAGCACCATTACATTCACTGCATTGTTCACTGCCATAGCAACGTTCAGGATCAGGACAAGGCACAGGTAGGAAAGACAAGGGTGGGCCACCAACATACCATGTGGGTTCTTCACTAGGTTTACCTTTACAACACAAAGAATGTTCACAGTCAGGTTGGTAGCAACAGCTCAGGCAAAAAATATACTTTAATGGAACATCTGTTCTCATATGTCTTTTCCGTAGATTCCAAATCGCTTGAGCACGAGCATATTTCTCAGGATGATCTTTCTTTTGCTTTTCCCTTTCTTCTTTCTTTCCTTTCAAGAAAATTTTAAAAAACTCATTTTCTTCCTGGTATGCTTTACTGTCTGCTCCCTTGTATAGATTAATAACTGTTCCAGCACAGGGAGTTTTATTAACTCTTGATATATATACATCTATAGCAGCATCCAAATTTTTACGCAGCAAATCGTGGTCAATGTTTCCACCACTAATACAGGAGCCATTAAGAGTTGAAGGAATAAAAAGGCTAGCATGACCAAGGGCAAGACTGCCATTTTGCAGCTCTACGCGGTTCCTATAGCTCGCACCACTGTTTCTAGACGTTACTAACGTCATTTGGCAACTGGTTACAAGGTGACGAACCGTCCACCAATGTTGAACCTCGCAATGGGACGGACCCTCGTCAAAACTTCCGTCAACTTGAGCACATTCAATTTCTTTTCGTTCTTGGGTTTCACTGTTCCAAAATACCTCGCGTGTTTCTTCGTTCTCTTCTAGCATCTGAAGATCTGCGTAATGTTGTGCTGCGTTTTTTGCATGAACACCTGGTGCTTTAACTCATTCTCATCCGGTCGAAAAGTAGCAATTTCGAGTGGTGTTGTTTCAAACGCTTATATCTCTCAAATTATACATCGCACGGAAACAGAAATTGCATCGTTCGAAAGAGGAGGACTTCTGCTTTCCAACGATACCAATTTCAATTCCATCCGGAGCTTGGTTAATGATTTACTCGCATAAATTTGCATAAATTATGATATAAAAAAATGTTGCAATTATGCATAAATGTATTTAGCGGTTCAAATTTCAAATATGTCAAAAAATTTATGAATATGACTGAAAGACACGGTTATGATCTACAAGTACCCGAAGTTTCATGCATGTAGCATAAATAGAAATATATTTATTGAATTTTTATATAAACTAGGTAGTGGAGTAAAATTTACATTTTGTGCTCACATGAAACAAATACCTTTATCAAAGGTCCTTTTTTATTGCTGCAACATGTTATCAATACAAATTTCCAATATTTCTTACTCTCCAAAGATAGTATGGCACCAAAGTAAGTCTGTGATACCCACAAAGAACACTCAAATCATGATTAGCAAAATGTCTTTATTTCTACAATTACTACATACATTCTTAGATAATCATTACACCATTGACTTTAGTTATTAGTGGCATAACCAGCCTCAAAATTTGGTCATGCTGTTCAAATTTGAAATAATCACTACTCATTTGTTTAGAAATTGATTGTTTTCACAATCTAGAACATGAAAATATTTGCAAATAGCATGACCAAGTGTTGTTGGGCTGGCATCATCATAATTAGTAGTTATAAAAAAGTAATGTTTTCCAAGGCAGTAATGTTTGCTAAAGCAGTAATGTTTGCCAAAGCACATAATTGGATTATGTGGTGAAAATATTTCCTCTATATTGTACTACAAAAGACCTAAGACTGTAACCAAACTGATATCAGATCACCATGTCATACCCAAATCTGTTGCGATGAATATCTGGACTTCTTCCTGTATAAATTTCAAAGTCGCAATATAACCATTAGGATTGTCTGCAGCAACCCACAGATTTATTCCCCACATAGTAGGTCATCTAGCTTTCATGAACTGCCTAACCCCAACCTATTTCTTGATTTGACAGTGTGTTTGTCTGCAACAACAATATTCTGTGACGGCTGGTACAGTTGTTGATGCAGTTTATTGCTGTAGTCTTTAGTACAGGATCTACCATATTCACAAACGCCATAAGCGCTTTGTACCTAACCCGAGAAATTATGTCTATTGCCCACAGACCATGATATAAGGTTTTTACACTCCAATAATTTTCAATCTCACTGACGACCTTTAGCAAACCTGCATATTATACTAAAAGGCAATCAACCTCTCAAGGTTGGTGGACTGCAAGACCCTTTTTTATTAGTATATGGGGATAACCTTTGAGTTATTTGTATGTGGGCATATGTATTGGTATGGCCAGGAAACTACCTCCTGAAGCATTCCCTTAGTAAAAAAGAGTCGAATGAACTCAAGCTCACAGTTCATTGAGCCGAATGATCTCAAGCTCACAGTTGATCGAAATGGATCCCGGACATGTCAGTGAGGAGCAAAATCTGGGAGAACATTCCTAGCGTCAGGATCATCATATCCGTCATGTACTATGGGGCCTAGTGGGGATGCTAGACAGGGAGCTTTCGAAACCTTAGGTCCTAATGGCTGGGCTTCCCTCTACCTCTACTCATCCCCCTACCTTACCTCTGGGTTGGTGAGTGGGGTTCTCATGACTCATCAGAACTCTACTTCCCTGAGGCTATGAAACAGGAACAGCAGATAGGAACAGGATCAATATATTCATCAGTGCGAATAAAAACTTTTATAGACATGGTGCCACTTAAAATTATAATAAGAGCCAACTAGTAAGATATAAGTATGAATACTTGGCTATTATGTATGTAACAAATAACCAAACATGTGCTCAAGGCTCATTTTAATTCGGCTAGGAATCAGAGATTTTTATGCCTAAAACACCATAAATTTTCGTCAACAATGTAAATAAATACCATTTATATTTGTCAATTTCAGTATGAAACGATTATTTCAACACAAAAAAGCGATATGAGGACATACTTGGTCGTACTAGTGAAGCTTACTAAATACAAATAAATTTACAACGCCATGGCAACAGCAAAACATTGAAATAGAAATTGTCTAGAAATGATACAAATACTTGCCTTGAAACTCCAGACACGACTCCCAATGCCAGGTTGAGATACTTGTCTTCATACGAAGACATTCCATCATTACTAGCACTATCAAAATAAAGCCAAAAACGTCTTCAGAATGCGATTCAAACAAAACTACAACACAATACATTTCAACGCTCGTGCGTTCCCGTGCGCGATAATCAGGAAAATTGCTCTAAAAGATTTGTTTTTCTGCCTAAGCCAATCAAAATCCGTATCTGGGGTAACCAAACACTCCGGAAGTGATTCCTGCAGTCTTTTACCAGGAAACTGTAATGCTTTACCAAGAATTTGGCGTCCGAAGTTGGCCGAACACTTTCCGATCACGAGAATTGCCATAATAGGCTTAGATTATTTTGCAATTTCCCGAGACTGCTCCGAGCTATAGAATGGAAGATGGCGATTCTTTTGGTATATTTGTTATTATTATACGTTGAAAAGAAGCAAAAAGACGAGCATTTGAATCAGGCGGAACATTCAAAATGCAACAGCAAAATTGATGTGTCATTTGCATAAATTTCACCGCATTGATCATTTCAAGGTAAGAAATTCGCTTGAAATTGAGCGAGAAACAATAAAATTATATGAATATTTCTGAATATATAGTATCGATCAAGCGGAATTTTTTGGTGGTATTTTCGTATGTCTACTGCAAATACTCGCGAAGTTCTTTAATATTTAATCTTCCCATCATATACGTCGGAAATTAATATTGGCGGATCGAATTGAGTTAACCACTCCGGCACAAACCTCCCCAGTTGTAGTAGTGGATGGGAAGTTATAAGATGTTGTTTGTAAATTAGAGGGGTATTTATTTACGTAATCATTCCTTGTTGTAGTAGTTTCCATACCTTTAACACAAAGAGTTGGATGTTGTTTGTGTGTGGCCATCGTGTCCAACTGGAATCCGGCTTGATCATCCCTTCCTATGTTAATAATATTCTTTCCGTCTTTGTACTGAATCTCCTCCAGTCCTCGGTAAAAGGCAGCACTCCAATGTGTGTCTGGGTTATAATGTATATTAAAGCCCTTTCTTGCTCGTTTACTTAAGACATTGGCAACCCCTCTATAGCGAACAGCAGACTTGCGTCTTTTATTACGTGCTATACATAACTGTATAACAGTGCCATACGATATTTTTCGATTGTATTTCTCTTGCAAATGTTCTTGTATACGTTTAAATGTTGCTTTCCTTTTTACTCTACGGTTTCCGTCAAATGTTAATCTGCCTGTTCTTCGCCATGCGTCTGCTCCAGCCCCACTTTCTTTTACAAAATCCTCTGTATCTTTTCCGATATTAGGAAATTGAGAAGTAAGTGTTCCAACCTTTTTACTTCTTCTTCTACCCAAAAGACGCTTTTCAGCCAATCTTTTCTTGATTGTTCGTGCGGTTTTGCGTCGTATAGCTGCTCTTTGTTTTTTGATTAATATTTTACCTCTCCAATCCAAAGCACTAATAACACCCAATGCCCAAATTTCGGCTTTGCTGGATTCTGATTGACGTAATTTCTGAAGAACTATCGCTGTTGTACCCAAATTCATTTTCCTTTAAATCTTCTCACATCGACTGTCTAACTGGTGTAATTTCTTCGTCGCTATTATCCTTCCGGTTGTTGGGTAGACATGTTGAATCAGTTATTGCAGAACTACTCTCACAATCAGTCTCACTTTCAGTATCCGAGCCACTTTCACTGGATTCACTTATTCCCAGAGGAAGTAATATTGATTTTTCCTTAGTGTTAGCAATGTCTTCGATTGCTTGTCTGATTGCACATGCCTCTTCCATTGCTTTCTCTACATCGTTTATTTTAGAAGTCATGTCGTCAAATCCATAAACAGCTTTTGCTTTCGTGCTTGATATTCCACTCGACTTTACTACAACAGCGTACTTTAGTCTCTTTCTTTCACTTTCAGATTCTGCCAAATTCAATAGCTTTTTAATGTCTTCTTTCGTAAGTCCTTTGTTAGTTTGCTTTTTAATACATGCTTCTTTTAGTAGAGATTGCAAAAGATACAAAGTGGCCGGGCTCTGTTTTTCCACTAGATATAAACAAGAAGTTCCTTCGAGCAAACTACCTGTCCCAATCACAGCACAAGGCATTCTTAACATTTTTCTACGAGCATGGGCTGGTGTGTATTTAACATTCGGACTGCACAGTTCTGCAGCATGTTTAAGCTTTATAAATCCTTCCTCATTCACTATATTTGCTACATTTAAAAGTCCTTTGCAGTTGTGTAAACATTTACAACCACGACGCTTGTGCAAGTTTGAACAAACGAGAGTCATTGCTTTTACATACTCATGTAATGTGAGACCCTCAAACTTTGAAACATAAACATTGTCTTTCAACGAAATATAATGTGGTAAGTTGTTTTTGTTCTGTTTAATGTAAATAGACATAAGTTGTTTTTCTCCTCTCCCACTAGGAGAGGACGCATCTAAAAAGACAATTCTGGTTCAGAACTGTCAGACACAATCAACATATCATCACTTTGAGGAGAATGATCAATGCTGATAACTCTGTCTACTGGTTTATCTGCTTTTTCTTGCCTTGCAACATCATCTGTTGTAGCAGTCGATGTGGAAGTGCTTGCAACATTTCCGTTTCCTTTAAAAAATTTTGCGATCTTATTTTGGCTTCCTTCTGGCTCCGATAGAGAACTTCCATCTTTAAATTCATGTGCTGTACTTTTCGAGTGAGCTCTTTTACGGTACCATTCAGACTTGGACGACTTCTTCTGAAGAGCTAACAATTGTTTGTCGCAATCCGTTTTCTCTCTAAGTAGATTCCTAACTTCATCCATTAGTTGGTCAGCTACTTTAAAATCATTGATAGCTTTTGCCTTGGTTATGAGCATTTGTTTAACACGTAACTGATCTTCAAGACTTTTAAGCAGTAGTTTCAGGTCTTCTATAGCTTTCTCTCTTTCTTCTTTATTTATTTTTGCCCTTTTTTTCACTCCTTCATCACTACTACTACCTTCATTGCTAGACCCTTTTGATCTGGAATAGCCTTTCTTGAATTTATAGCCGCCTTCTCGAACCATTTCTTTTGCTTTTAGAAACAACTCACCTACAAACAAAGTTGTATGCATGATGAGTTCATGTGATATAAATAATTAGATATGGGGAACATTGGATTCTATATCGAGAAACCCAGATGATTTTATCTGGGTATTTGTGCACCAAATGTGGGTTTTGCAGTAAAAGCATGAACTTTGGCACATATACTGCATGAATACACATATATTTCACAGTATTGCCAATGGATCCATACGATAATTTCCGCACACCCGGTTAAAGTGGATTATATGTTATGAAAAAATGCAAAATGAAAAGTTAATATTTAATAAGAAAGATTTTGATGCAGTTTATAACCAAAATTGCTCACAATTTGTTCATTTATATACAGGTTCATGTTGGTTGCCTCTATTTTGGTTGGAAATTTATTGGTACCTCAAAATTTGAGGCATCAACAGTCGCCCAAGTAAACCCAGCGTCCTGTTATTTTAACAATCAGACATATTCAATATTCTGCTACATATAAATAGAAAGAAAAATATTATCTAGTAGACATGCTTGATTAGTATCATTACACAACTTAAGCTGAGATTATGTGAAGATAGAAAGGATTTGATTAGACCCTGTATTGGGGACTTTCAATATTATATATACTTTATGTTGTTGTCTTTGAAATTAGCATATTTTCAGGCAGGGCAACCCAGGGGGGAGGGGCAAAGCGGGCAATTCACCCTGGACCCTTAGCTAAAAGGGCCCCCCAAATAACAATACAATACCGGTATGTGTAAAAATAGTTCTGTCAACTCATTTCCCAGGGGGGCTCAAATACTATTTTGCCTGAGCCCCCAAATATCTCTGGGCAGGCTTGTTTTTAGGCAAAATTGGTACTATTTTGAAGAGCATTTCTGACATGCCTTGGCATTTGCTCTGGCAATTGGACAATGTTTTCCTTGGTAGATGAAACCACAAATCTCCTCATGGATATACAGCATGCAGTGTGCACTCCTGCTACATGGTACAAGTACTGTGTGTATCATAACATACCTCTCTGGAAAACAAGAGCAGAATTTTCCTGGACAAGGTTTACAGCTGCATTGTTTACAGCCTCCTCATAATCATTTCTGGGAAATGTGTAAATTTTAGCTTTCTCTATCAAACCTGGGTTCTTTTCAGGTGTTGCAATGGTTTCCTATAAAATAAAATAAAACAAAGCAATTTCACCAATTGTATATAAGCTATATATACAATTTTTAAATTTTGTTTTATCAACATATTTCTGGCCAAGTGAAATTTTCAATTGGCATAAATTAATAATATCCAATACTGTAAAATAATAAAACACAATTTTAAATGCATAGTATGATGACAAATATTGACTCACTGATTCAAGTGGCATCCGTAACCCAAGATTGCCTTCACTAATAGTCAATCTTTTTTGCCTGTTGTTTGCAAATTGTATAGATGACAAAGGTGTTGCAAAAGTGCCATCAGACTCCAAAGTATCATCTGTCCTTTTCTCAATTAAATAAAAGCATGTATTTGGAGAAAGTTCAGAAAATACATCTTCATTATCAATAATGGACTGATCATCTACTAGCATGGCTTGTAAATCATCAGAGTTTTTTATGCCAAGTTTAGTGCTTCCTATACAAAAAAACAAGTAAAGATGTCAGTATCCCATACCTTTCATTGGTTCTAAAGCCATGCTATATTAAATACACTGTGGTTATAGGTTCAACACCAATTGTCTTGTTCTATATGGCTATACGATACTTGTCTATAGATCAGACAACCTTTAAATCTAACAAGAAACCTAAATTTAACCCTGAAAAATACCCTAACTCTAAATCTTACCCTAACCAAAAGGGTAAAAATTAATTGCAAGTTGCAAGAAAAACTGCATTGTGTATTAAACATGACCTTAACAGTTCTTTTAACAAGTACCTTTATCTTTTAAATCTGCCAAAGAGTTGGCACAGATGCAAAACTTTTGTGGGTTTCTTTCACTTTGAACTTTGAACAAGGGCATGTCTCCAATATCTATATATTACTATTAAAAAAACAAAAAATATTTTCAATGTTTACAGTAATGAAATATTAAAATTGCACACGGTAATAACAATGTTTTAAGCTATTAAAAAAACCCAAAAGTTTTAACACATGTATATATTAATTATTCATATTCAAACACATGGAAATATGGAGGAATTTCATCCATAATTTATATATAAATATATATGAACATTAAAATATCTATATACACTGAATACACACAGAAAATAATCAGCAAATAAAACAGATATCAAATTTAAACTTACCTTTTATACAATTACATAAAAAACACTGTAAAAAGTGACTAAAACCTTTCCAAATATAAAGCACTTTCGTCGACTACATCAGAGCCTCAGAAGACCACGCTGGATTTATTAGTTTTATGCATCACTGCTCATGCGCATAAATAACCTGCGAGCAGGCTGGGCGAAATTCAAACCGCCCCATCCTGGGGATAGGCAGGTTAGAAAATGTCCCAGGGAGGGGATGAATTTTATGATCAAACCCCCTATACTGTCCCGGCCTCCCCCCCCCCCCACAGGGTTTACATTGATAGGTGCATTATTGTACAACTCAATTTCTGTTTTTATGAAAGGGAATTAACTTTTTTATGGGTTTATGCCAGTGTTGTAACAAGTTGAGTCATTGACTTGGACTTGAGTCAACTCGAGTCGCTATTTTCAGTGACTCCACTCGAGTCAACAGCCCCAAATGACTTGACTTGGACTCGACTTGCTGTTTTTGCCGTAAATGACTTGAGTCAACTCAGCTACAACTTGTACAGAGTAAATTCATCAGAATTATTGTGATTGTATTGCTTGGGAAAAACAATGAGCCCTGTAAGCCATGAGAACTTTGAAAGACAAAACTTTATGGGATTTGCACAGAAGATATTCCTGGGGTCGGTTGTTCAAATGTGGATTAGCGCTAATCCATGTTTAAAATTTAACCCACTGTTTTAGTTTGCATATTTCTGCATGTCCATTTATTTCAAAATGTCAGAAAAGAAAACTTCTATTGATCCAGACATGGTTTGTGAAGAAACATTTCCAAATTTATAAACAAGCTATTAGGAGTTTCCTTTGAATTTCAAGTTAACCTAGGATTAAGCTAATCGGCTTTTGAACAACCGGCCCCTGACGGGCATACCTATATTGCATTTCTGTTTTTAGAAACAACATTAGTGCCACAGTTTTTAAAATGGAGTCTCAAAAATTTTTTGTACTTCTACTAATTCTGACAGGCTATTTTCATTTTTGGTATTTATGAAGGGCTATATAATTTCAAATTAACTTACAAAGCGTGGTTAATTAAAGTCAATTCTTTGTTAATTCTGACTATACAGTTGCAAGTTATGCTAGTTGTATGTATGTACATTCGGTTTAAACGACTAAAGTAATTAGTTTAAAACGCAAATTTGATTAATAATTTCCGACTGCAAGCTTGGGTAGCTCAAGTCAAGTTACAACACTGGTTTATGCGCAAGGAATTGACAATCTAATGCATGTTCACAATATTTGTGTCCGTAAAATGAGGTTATTTTATTATTATTAATATTTCAAGGTATTTAAGATGAAAAATTGGCTAAGGAACAAAACTGAATAATTCAATTTCCTACTTTTGAAAATTTTCAGCAAACAAATTCAAAACGATGATTTTGCGTGTCAAATACAAACCATCACTCTCCAGCTAACGGTTGCCATGTTGGACGTCAAGGGAAATTCTTCCGGTACTGCGATAGGCATTAGTTCCTGGTATAATAGAGGAATTTTATTCGAGAGGTAACACAAATCGCTGTGACAGCAGCATCCAGTGAATTCCCAGGGTCTGAAATTTTCAGTATTCCAATAGTCACAGGATACCAAAAATTTGGTTTTGGATACCAAACTATGAATGATACTATCCCGACTGAATACTAAGAAGGCTCCTGATAGTTTTTCCTCACTGAGGACTAGAATATAGATGTTTGTTGAAGGATTATGTGGATTTTTAATACTGTATTTAATTATTGTTTATTTGTTGTTGACTTTTGAGTCTCCTTGAGTTGTTATTGTAATTTGTAACAGTGAGAGTTACAGAAACTTATGTGGATGGGACGGGGTATACCTGTGGTACTGCTAACCAGTGTCCAGAAGTGGGATACTCAGGACTGGATTCTCAAGAGGGATACTAAACTTTGAATCCTGGAATAACAACTTCTGTGGTCCCCACAACTATAGTGTGTATTCAGTTTTTGGTCTCCACAAACTATGATACACAGGTATACTAATTAGTGTCTTTGGTGACTTGTGGAGACCGAAACCTAAATACACACTATATTTGTGGGGACCACGGAAGTTGTAGCCAGTCCTGTAGATCTGGGTATAAGTAATAATATTTTGTAAGCAATAGGGATCAGTTAATTTCTGCCCCCTAAAAAAAAACTGCCCCCTTACCTTTGAGTTTAGCCATTTATAAAGCAGTGGCGAACATTTCATGAACTATTGCTTGGGGGTGCGAATTTAGGTTACCACATATAACCATCTTTTCAATCCTGGAAATCTCAATACCTAAAACCTTTTTGACTTGAATTTCATACAAATGTTCTTAAATTAGTCTATCAAGGCTTTCCTGGTTGTAAAATCGTTGATACAGTTAATTAGCTATCACTCAAAGCCTCGTGAACAATTAATGATGGGCGACTGTCCACCTTTCCCCCCCCCCCCCACCGGTGTCTGGCAACAGCTATACAGCGGGTTGTGGGCACGGATTTGCTCAGTTATGCTTGATAAACCGATGTAAATTGAGACTGGTTGGTTCTCTCCTTTCCTTCGAAGGATTTTTTGTGTGCTCCGGTTTTTCTTCGACCTTAGTAAAAACTAGCCCTTGGGCACTATATGACCACCATCTAATAGTACTTAACATATTTTAGTCAGTATAAAGTCAGTTTAATGAATCTTGATTTTGAGTAATTTTACTTGAGAAAAACCTGACTTTAATAGCTGAGTTAAAAGACCAACGATTTTTCCCACAAAAAGGATAATCAATTTTGTTCACTGTAACACTGACATCTTATTTTACTTTGCAGTCAGTGTATTTAGCCAAGTACAACATATTCGATATTTGTGATGTTCTTCCTGCATAAATTATCCTTGTATGTACTAATTCTTGGGTTTCATATGACGTCACAGAAGTGACAAGGGTCAACTCTAAAACAAAACACAGTTCAGTCAGACAAAATCAGAGTGAGTCTTTTCTTGGTGCACGACTCAGAAAATCCGAAATTTGTTTCTTTGAATTCCGGCGTGAACGATCATAATATAATTTTATATATCCTGAATCTGAAATGAATATACAGTAAACGAGCCGAAGACAATGCAAGGTAAAATTAAGGTTATAACTTAAACTACACAACGTAGTTAATAGATAACTACTTTATGAGAAGCATATTGGTGTCATATCAATACAAAATTTATGCAACAACATTCCCTAATAGTTAGCTCAACTTAGCTGTGGAAACGTGAAAACTGTAGTGTGAATTGCAGGGGAGTAGGAAGCCTCTAAAAGTTGGGGCAGGTTTTGAGACACTTTTCGAAAAAAAGGGCGTCTAAAAATTTTTTCCCGCAAATGTTGGGGATGGGCAGGTCATCTCAAAAAAATTTTCTGGACATAAAAAAATTTCCGGATATGTATCACATTTTTTCCTAAATATGAAAAAAATTTCCGGATATACCAAAAAAGTTTCCGGATATATGATATTTTTCCCAGAAAAGAAAAAACATTTCTGGAAATAACATAGATTCAAGTTTTCAAAAGTGCCCTTTGGGCAAAAAATGCAATCTTATTGTTACTGTGGTACATGTATTATTTGTTACAGTGTTGCCTTGGTCTACAGTTCCATAATCCGAACATTGCAAGTGAAATGGCTCAGTTTCTGATCTCAAATCATGAAAAATATGTGCCATGCTATGGAGAGACAAATGGCGGCATCCTCACAGTTCCATTACATGGTGATCAACTATTCGAAGAGAGGGCCAGAAACACCCAATGGACCTATCAAGATGGAAATAACCTAAGTGACAAACTTCAAGGACTTAGAACTGAGTTTGCAGATTGGCATGCAAAACTTAATTTGTATATGGTTTGTTGAATAATTTTTATATAAAAATTATTCAAATTACATCATCCTCTCATCAATTACAGAACAACATTTTGATTTTCAGTGCATAAAACAGTATATCACATTAAAGTCTAAAGAAACTAGAAACATGATTTGACCAATTAAGGGCCACAGGCTTACTCAGGCTACTAATTTGGCTAATCGTGTAGGATTCTCCTCTTAATGGATTAAATTATTGCTATAAATTTAAGAGAAATGCTGCTGTTTGTTTTTAATTTTCAGAGCATCAGTATAAAACTGATGATGGATCACAATAGTTTATGTGTTCTTTCATTAACTCATTAACTGGCAATGCGCCCGGATGCGCCCTGAGATTGGCAAGTGGGTAACTGGCAATGCGCCCGCATACGCCCTAAAATGACACCTCAACTTGCGGGCATGATATTTGAGCACGTGTTTATCGGGTTGCCTAGCAACGGATACGAAAATAGAACGCGAAATTCGAGCTTTTCAACAGTGTATCATGCAAGAAAATCGGCCAAAAACTCGCAAAGTTTTTCAAGTTTAAAACCTTAGTTTTTCAAAAATAATGAATAATGGCGATATTGTTGCAAAGAAGGATTTCACAGCAAGTTTTAAAAGAGGAAAAATAAAACGTTTTTGAATGATTTACAACGAAAATTTGGCATGAAAGGAAAGCGAACGTACTGACGTTTTGGGCCAAGTTCTTCTGTGAACCATGCGCGAGATTTTCAGCCAAAAAGATGAGGATTTCTCCAAACTTTATTAAAAATAGAAGTCGGAAATCACAAGAAAGATGAACACAGAACTCAAGTGAGCAGATACGATTTTTTAAAGGATATTTTTGAGTAGAAATA